TAATATTTAAAAATACTTTTTTAGAAACACGCTTTAATGAAATGTAACCGTACTAGAAATGGCAGAACTCCACGACTCCAGGAAGTGACCCCGAAGCTTGCCATCACGTAAGGGGCCGTGGTGATTTACAGCCAACGTCAGTTGAGCGTGGACAATTAGACCCAAGCCGAAACATAACTTGTAAAAAATGTTTTAAAATATTTATTTTATTTTTAATGATAGAATATAGTACTGTCATCAGTATGACATAAGTATACCAAGTTTTGCAGTCGATACCACATTGGGAAGTGGGTTAAAATTGAGTTACAAGATTTGAGGATATGACAACGACGACAACAACAGAGTGAGTTAAATAAAAGCATCTTCTTTGTTATTTCGGTAAAGTCACGTAGAAGGGAAATAATAAAATAATATAAATATTAAACAATAAAAATTCTCACGACGTTTCAACTGCAACACAAGCAATCATCATCACACCTGATGAAGAATATGAATGCCTGCAGTCACGAAAGCTTTAAATCAAAATTTAAATCAAAGCGTGTAACAAAATCTGAATCACGGCAGCGGTGACTTCATCGGAAGTGGAGACACTTTTAGAGTTATTTGGGACGAATTCAACTATCGTCTCGATTTTATTTCGATTTAAAGCTTTAGTGACTGCAGGGATTCATCTTCTTGGTTCTTTCGGTAAAGTCACGTAGAAGGGAAATAATAAAATAATAAAATTAAACATTTAATAATTCTCACGACGTTTCGGCCACAACGCAAGCAGCCGTCCTCAGGTTATATGCTAATTATTTGGTCAAGGCGCTCTTCCCCCTCCAACCCAGCTTAAATATACGCTCCAAGCCTGGTGGTGTTTCATTCAGACGCTGTCTTCCCGACGGACCTGTTCTTCACCTGAGGACGGCTGCTTGCGTTGTGGCCGAAACGTCGTGAGAATTATTTTATCATGTTTTTATTTTTATTATTTTATTATTTCCCTTCTACGTGACTTTACCGAAAGAACCAAGAAGATGGTATCGTCTCGATATTGTCCGTACAGTAGGCGGAGGGCACACAGAGCATTTATAACACATTCATCTGCTGCGGAGGGAGCTGGTAGGAACGTTGGGTTGCTCGGTCAATGGCCTGAAGGGTCAACGGCAGCGTGGTGTATTCCGCAAATATGGCCGACTGTGAGGGCAGGCACAAGCCGGCGTGAGTCGGTGAAACGTTGAGTTTTATAAGGGCACCACGGGGTGACCAGCCCCTCCCCACCCAGCCCCACCCCTCCCACCCCCACCCAGCCCCTCCCCACCCTCCCCACTCAGCCCCACCCTTTCCTTCCCCACCCAGCCCCACCCAGCCCTTCCCCACCCTCCCCTCTCCACCCAGCCCCACCCCTCCCATTTTTGGATTCACGACGGACGGACACAATAATCTCCTGTGGGCTGCTGGAACCAGGTGGTTCCTACCAGTAAAATGGTTAGAGTAAAACTTGATAACTCATTCAAACCGTCTGTAACTTTGCGTGCGCAACAGTAACACGTTGTCATCGTGAATTAAACTGCTTTGAAATTGGGTCCGTCTCTTTGAAACATCAGCAGCACCTAGACACAAAGACAAAGCTACCCCAGGTAGCCTGCAGCAGGCTGTAGGGGCAAGTGCTGTGTTAGTAGCGAGCAGCACCTAGACACAAAGACAAAGCTACCCCAGGTAGCCTGCAACAGGCTGTAGGGGCAAGTGCTGTGTTAGTAGCAGCAGCACCTAGACACAAAGACAAAGCTACCCCAGGTAGCCTGCAACAGGCTGTAGGGGCAAGTGCTGTGTTAGTAGCAGCAGCAGCGCCTAGACACAAAGACAAAGCTACCCCAGGTAGCCTGCAACAGGCTGTAGGGGCAAGTGCTGTGTTAGTAGCAGCAGCAGCGCCTAGACACAAAGCTACCCCAGGTAGCCTGCAACAGGCTGTAGGGGCAAGTGCTGTGTTAGTAGCAGCAGCACCTAGACACAAAGACAAAGCTACCCCAGGTAGCCTGCAACAGGCTGTAGGGGCAAGTGCTGTAGTAGCAGCAGCATCGCCTAGACACAAAGACAAAGCTACCCCAGGTAGCCTGCAACAGGCTGTAGGGGCAAGTGCTGTGTTAGTAGCAGCAGCAGCGCCTAGACACAAATACAAAGCTACCCCAGGTAGCCTGCAACAGGCTGTAGGGGCAAGTGCTGCAGCGCCTATGAAGGCCGCCACTGATATGTGAGCCGTGCCCCTGCCGGGTTCGCAGAACGTAGCGCGCTAACCACTGCGCCACCGCTCCCCGGATTCACACAGACAAAGACAAAGGCGCTCAACCCACACCCGGTATAGCCTCACCTGAATGTCGGGGCAAGTGCTCTTACGAAGGAGCCGGCACTGCGGCTGATGTGGCCAGCGCCCACGCCCGGCCGCCTTTGTCTCTCTCCCCGGTGACGACGCTACAAGGTAACGCGTTTGAGGCCGAGTCTACCTAGGGGGAGGCCGCACTCACGGATCACTGTCCGCTCTCACCTCTGGTCAGCTCTCGTATGTGACGTCACTTCCGTCCCCTTCACACACCCCCCCATCGCGCTCGCGTGACGTCATCTCTCCGCAAACCGGAGGGCGCGCGCGTGACGTCATCCACGAGAGGATCCACACGCGGGGGGGACGTGACGTCACGTCGGCCGCCGTGGCGGCTGCTGGAGACGCTGGGTGTGACGTCACGGATGGACGCAGAGCGCGAGAGTGGTGAGTCCGTCTGTGTGTCTGTCTGTGTGTGTGCGTGTCTGTCTGTGTGTGTGTCTGTGTGTGTGTGTGTCTGTCTGTGTGTGTGTCTGTGTGTCGTGTCTGTCTGTGTGTGTCTGTGTGTCTGTCTGTCTGTCTGTGTGTCTGTCTGTCTGTGTCTGTCTGTGTGTGTCTGTCTGTGTGTCTATCTGTGTGTGTCTGTCTGTGTGTGTCTGTGTATATCTGTGTGTGTCTGTGTGTGTCTGTCTTTGTGTCTCTGTGTGTGTCTGTGTGTCTGTCTGTGTGTGTCTGTCTGTGTGTGGGTCTGTCTGTGTGTGTCTGTCTGTGTGTGTCTGTCTGTGTGTCTGTCTGTGTGTCTGTGTGTGTCTGTCTGTATGTGTCTGTGTGTATCTGTCTGTGTCTGTCTGTGTGTCTGTCTGTGCGTGTCTGTCTTTGTATGTGAGACTGTCTTTGTTAGCCTGTGTCTTTGTCTGTCTGTGTGTATGGGGAGCGGTGGTGCAGCGGTTAGCGCTACTAACCCGGCGACCCGAGTTCGATTCCCACTCACGGGGCTTCAATTGAGTAGCTGGTGCGGTGCCTAAAAACATTGGCTCTGGTGAGACAAAGGCGGCCGGGCGTGGTGCTGGCCACCCACCCACTCGTGTACCCACTGTGTCGGCCTTCATAGGTGCTCGCTAACAGCACTTGCCCCAACAAATAATCTGGGTAAAGGCTATACGGGGCATCTGTGTCTGTCTGTGTGTCTGTGTTGTTAATGTCTGTCCGTGTGTGTATGACTTGCATCAGCCAGTCATCTCAGTCAGTCGACCCATGGCACCTGGGTCTGCCCCGTGGCCTCCTGCCAGCGGGCATTCAACACTTCACGTGGCCTTAACGTGCACCTAGCCTGGCACAAGCGCCGTGGTGATGTCACCGTCAGTTAGTGGCGAATGGCGGTTGTTGTTGTTGATGTATGCCTGTTGCAATAGATATAATTACTCAACCCGAGCTATGAATATTTGGATACTTGAGTTTTCGGCATCGCTCTCTGGTCGACTAATACCGGTGCTGTCAAAATATCCGATTACACTGGTCAACACACTTTTTCTGCAATAAGGTATTCCAACGGTAATTTTGGGGTGCTGATTCCAAATATGGCATCAGTTTTTGTCTATCACATCAGGTTTTTGAGATATCAAATATTGCATTTTCAATACAAACTGCAGAAGAAAAATATTAAATGAATGGATATCTACATAAAATATATTATAAACACACTATCCTAAAAATACAGCACCATATTTCAACACTAAAGCAGTCACTGACTCGCAACAACTTGCAATCATAAGTGACAGAGTTAATTTCGGGTAAAATCAATGAAAATGGGGTATGCCGATAGCATAAAAATGAGATGTGATAGAGCAAATCTGAGCAGATCAGATTTGGAATCAGCACCCTGGAATTAGTCTAAAACAGCTGCAAAAGTCCAGGCCAGAATTTTTCTTTTTTTGTTGACAAGTGTTATTGATCGAGCACCTTGGTCAAGGCGCTGTGTTTACGAGAATGCCATCCTGCAATGGGTACCGCCGGTCAGAACCGTTGTCTACGTACGGTGCGAAAAAAGTTAAATGTACGCAACTGACAATTTCTTCACTTTTTCTAGGTTCACACCTCGGTGGAGGGGATGAATTTCCTTCTCGTGCCTCACTGCATCCCAGCGCCCGAGACATTAAAATGAACGAGGGAGGAGAGATGAAGATCTACTGCCCGATCTGCAACTGGGTGGTGATCAACCTGCCCGCCCTGGAGGACCACATGAAGCGGCACAGGGGTCGGACCGAGTCCGTGCTGTACCAGTGCCCCCACTGCCCTTACAGCACGGACAAAGCGGCCACTCTGATCGGCCACCAGAGGACGCACGCTGACGAGAAGCCCTACAAGTGCAGGGTGTGCGGGGAAGTATTCGCCAACTCGGGAGACTTCTGCTCCCACCAGAGGATTCACGCCAAACGAAAGCGGCACAAGTGCTCCTTCTGCGGAAAGGCGTTCGCGCAGTCGGAGGACCTCCGGGAACACGAGAGGATCCACACGGGCGAAAAGCCCTACCACTGCACCGTCTGCGGAATGGACTTCACTCAGTCGCACCACCTTCTCAGCCACCAGAGGATCCACACGGGCGAGAAGCCGTACGCGTGCGCCGTGTGCGGCAAGGCGTTCGCGCGCTCGGACACGCTCGTCACCCACAAGCGGGTCCACACGGGCAAGAAGCCCTACAGGTGCGCGACGTGCGGCAAGGAATTCACGCAGTCGGGAGGGCTCGTCATACACGAGAGGATCCACACGGGCGAGAAGCCCTACAAGTGCACCGTGTGCAAGAAGGCCTTCGCCCAATCGGGAGCCCTGTGCATACACACGAGGATCCACACGGGGGAGAAGCCGTACGCGTGCCCTACGTGCGGCAAGGCCTTCTCCGAGTCGGGAACCCTCGGCATCCACAAGAGGATCCACACGGGGGAGAAGCCATACGGTTGCCCCACGTGCGGGAAGTCGTTCACGCACTCGGGAGCCCTCCGCATCCACCAGAGGACACACGCCGGTGGGAAGCCCTGCAAGTGCACAAAGTGCTGGGGACACGTTGACGTTTTCGGCTCGCCTCCGCGCTCCCAGGGGAACGTGCCGGGGCAGGAGACGCCACGAGTGCGCCACGTGCAGGGGGGCATCCGCCGAGTCCAAAGACCCCGAGGACGAAACCGCGACTCCCTCCGGGGAGGTGGAGGTGACCGTTGAGGATGAGAGTCCCGCGGTGGCGCGGGGGCGCGAAGAAAACCCCAATTTTGAGACGTGGCCGGGGGTTAAGGTGGAATGTGGACCCGAGCCTCCTTCGACCTCCCTGTCAATTGTAAAGCGGGAATGTGACGAAGGGGCCTGCTCTGAGGCACGGTCGAGGGTGAAGGTGGAACGTGAAGGTAGCGATGGTCCTTCCATCTCGCCGTCGATCGTGAAGCAGGAGCGTGAAGAACGACCCGGCTCAGAAACGTGGTCAGGGGTGAAGGTAGAAGGTGGAGGTGACGGTGCCTCGTTTCCCTGCTCGATCGTGAAGCGTGAACGGGAAGGAAGCCCCGGCTGTGAGACACGGCTGCTGTGAAGGTGGCACACGGGAGACCGAGTCTCTGCTTTGGGAACGGATGTTGAGGTCTCCGTGGGAAGGTGAAGGAGGAGGGGACTACAAAAGGAAGCATGTCGAGTGAGAGTGAGTCCTCGACTGGGACCTTTATTAATTTGGTGGCGCAGGTGGAGGATGTGGGCTACACAGAGGGGCAGGTCTCGTGGGGCGGAGATGAAACACTCGAGAAGCTGACCGGGAGAGGAAAATGTTGAGAAAATACCATCCGATACATCGGCCATTGGAAAGCACGAGCGTGTCTGCACGAGTGAACAGAATGGATGGAAAAACTATCACGAAGTGTTGGAAGATACGAGAAATAAGTCCTGTGCCGGTGGACCGCTGGAGTCATAAGTAATGACACAAATAAAAGGTGACACCTCATGGAACTCTGTAAAGAACTGCGACGTGATGCGTGGCAGCTGTTGAGTAGAGTTGGCTCTTGGTGGTTATTGGACCTCCCAAATAGTGGGGTTTCTACTGAAGCTACACCAATGAGTTGTTATTGATAAGACTACTAGATACGGATTCGCCTTCTTAAGAAGTATAACGACCGACACTATTTGTGGAGACTTCGCGACGGCTGGCCAGTGAGTCCTATTCTGGGACAGAAGTCCCTGGGCAATGAGTGATTGGCAAGGAACGAAGACACTCGGGTGCCTGGCCAGTTAATCGTCAATCTGGGGGGCAAACCCCTGGGCAGAGATTATGGAGGAGACTCAATGATTGGTCAGCGAGTCATCTTCTGGAGAAAAAGTCCCTGGGCAATGAGTGATTGGCAAGGAACGAAGACACTCGGGTGCCTGGCCAGTTAATCGTCAACCTGGGGGCAAACCCCTGGGCAGATTAGAGAGGAGACTAGGAGATGATTGGTCAGTGAGTCCTATTCTGGGACAGAAGCCCCTGGGCAATGAGTGATTGGCAAGGAACGAAGACACTCGGGTGCCTGGCCAGTTAATCGTCAATCTGGGGGGCAAACCCCTGGGCAGAGATTAGGGAGGAGACTCAATGATTGGTCAGTGAGTCGTCGTTTGGAACAAAAGCTCCTTGGCAATGACTGGCAAGAAACGAGCGACAGGGGATAAAAGAGAGCGAGAGACAGAGGTCGCAAACGGGTTTTGATTCCTTACCCGTACCCGGCCGCACCAGGGTCCCAAACGGGTACACGTACCCGTACCCGGCTGGGTACGGGTAGCCGGGTATCGGGTAGGGTACGGGTATCGGGTACCCGGTTGCGACCTCTGGCGAGAGAGGAAGAGGGGGGGGGGGGGGGAGTTCTTCGTGCGGAGTGCCGGAGCGTGGTGTGTTTCCTGCCGTATGACCGGAGATGTTTCCTGTGGGTCATCGAATAAAGAGACCATCGCTGAACACGGTGGTGAGCTGAGTCCTTCTTCTCACAATTGTCAACATTATGAATTATATCCAGATTTGTTTTGGGGGTTCAGGGGGCATGTTTGAAACGTAAATTTTACAGGAAGGAACAACAGTTCCACACTGCCCACCAGGGATTATTTTTCTGTCTGTCTGTCGTGCATAGCCACGCCCCCGATTTGTATTTCATAGAGCGCTTCGGGCGGGCTCGGCACCACGTGACGCACCGCCCCATGCAGGTTGCGCCGCGTGACACGGATCGCACGAATGCGCAGTCCAACCAAGTTCCTACCTGCCCACTCCGAAGGAACGTGTTTTAAAGATTTTTATAGTTACAAGCGAAGGCTTTGTCTAGAATATAAATCAGTTGATTAGCCAGTAACCTATATCTGTTAAGACGAAGAAGAACTGGTCGTGGACTTTGCTGGTTTTCTAGGAGTTTTTGACATCGCACGTTTATGAAAAGTAATTGAGCTTTCAAATACGAGTGGGAAGCTAGTTGAGATCCAGTGAGAATAAATGATGTCAAGGCATCGCTGTTTTTTTTGTTTTTGGCCAACTTTATTGGCAATTAACAATGACGACAGTTTCATAGGCAGGGATACACATTCCGGCACGTTCTGGAGTGGTTAACAATAAAATGACTACGGAACGACACGCACACGCGTTTGTTTCACCACGTCACCCCCATCCAACCCCTTCACGAGCTCCATCCAACCCTGGACATACCCCCCTCGCCAATTATACGTGCCCGTCAGTTTTATCATTTAGAAATTTGGCAATGTCACATACCAGGCTATTATATACAACATTCCACCCCCCCCCCCCCCACCTCATTCTACCTGCTTCCTCTATCCTCTCACTTCGTCACATCCCAGGCTATTATATACAACATTCCCCCCCCCTCGCTCCCCCCGCCCCACCCAGCCCGTCCCCCTCCCGCTCCCTCTATCCTCTCACTTAAGTTCTTCCTCCCCTGTCTTCCCCTCCGTAGATAAAAGTACAACAGGTAGCCCCGCTCATGGAACCCACTTGGGTGGGGCGGTCAACCCAATCCCCTCCCTCTCTCCGTCTTCGCAAACGTCAGCTACTCTACAGCGGCTCCATAATAGTAGGACATACCTATTTTGTGATGTCACGTTACCGCTCTACAGTAGGACCCCTCTTAACGACGGTAATTGGTTCCACAAAACCGGCCGTTAAGTGATTTGGTCGTTAAGCGAGTATAGGAAATACATGTTAAAGTCTTAACTCGTTCAGATAGCATGGAAAGTTGCCCCTTTTCACCCCAAAAATGTACATATTTTAATAATGTATATTCATATGTAAAGATACTGACAATATAAACACATAATATTAAAAGAAACACGATTAAGCAATGCATTAATATTTACTGTACCTACAACAGCCTGACTTTTAACAGGAGAACGGGCGGTAAGCGAACACATTGGGTTCTACGGAGGCCCGCCGTAAAGCGTTTAGTCATTAACACGGGTGGCCGTGTAGAGGGGTTCCACTGTATATCAGTGGATTCTCATTGAAATGTTAGCATGCATATACAAAACTCGATGTAAAAAATGTAACATTAATCAGGATTATTTTAAAGAAATGTCTCTCTTTAACCGCAAGCTACCGGACTCGCCGGGTTCATCACTTCCGCCGATTACAGGAATCCCCCGTCATTCGCCAACTTGGTATCCACGACTTTGGCTACCCGTGAATGGCATCTGTAACGCTACACGACTGCTGCATCGAGAAAGTGATGAGATAAAGTTACGCGAGTGATTAAGTGATTAGATAAAGAAGTGATGAGAGATAAAGCTGATTTACCTATCCTTGGTTCTTTCGGTAAAGTTACGTAGAAGGGAAATAATAAAGTAATAAAAATAGAAAACAATACAAATTCTCACGACGTTTCGACTGCAACACAAGCAATCATCATCAGGTGTGAAATCCACAGCAAGACTTTACCGAAAGAACCAAGAATATGAATCCCTGCAGTCACGAAAGCTTTAAATCAAAACGTATACAGGTAGGAACAACAGGTTCCACACTGCCCACCAGGGATTATTTGTCTGTCTGTCGTGCATATCCGGAATTCCGCCCACCTATGCACCTCCCCACCGAACACCAAGCTACGCCGCGATTGGTTGACGATGTCGGGGAGTGTGGGGGGGAAGGGTAAACATGCCCACTCATCCAACTGCCCCCCCCCCGAACGCCGCGCTGTCCAACCAAGTTCCTACCTGCCCACTCCGAAGGAACGTGTTTTACCTATTTAAGGTAATTCATTCAAATTAAGTTTTGCGTAGAGCCAATATCATTTATCCGCTAAATTTCCCATTCACGAGCATTGCCGGGGCGCATTCCCTCGCGACTAACGAGGGAAACACCGTGTATCGTGCAAGTCTCTGTCCGTCACGCTCTGTATCTCCCACACGGTAGGTCAGAGGAAAACGTGCGTACAACCAAAAATTTTCTCTTGCCGACGGCATGCGTGGAAAATGTCCGCCTTTCCCAATCGACGTTTTGTCCCCCAAGATTCCGAAAAAAAGTAACGCCCGATACAAGCGTAAATCTTGCTCTTTAAAGCACGAGATTATTTGATGTATATTGAAATTGTACGATAATCTCGATTCACAATCATAGCTCATTCACGGGATCATCCTGGTTCCATGCAGTGACCTGTTTTGTACGTGCGAATATACGTTGAACGTATTTCGCGAATACTGGACGTAGCCAACCGCGCTAATCGGAGGTGCGGGTGAAGGACGACAAAACTAACACCACACAAAAAGCAGTTCTAGAGAAATGCGTTTGTGTCACAATCTAGATGATGGTTTAAAAGTGCGAAGCTCCCAGTGACTTCCTAACATCGGAAGAAGCATTCCTAGACGGCCGCAGGAGCAGCGCATCCGAAAGCGCCGCGCGACCGAAGAAGTGGCGACAGCCATCTCTGCCCTCGCAGAATTCCTTACAATGAACTTCATCAACACGCTGTCTCGTCTCCTGTGCTTCGGTGAGAAGCATATTCCTTATAGGGAAACAAAAACTGATTACTAAAGTAGCATAATTACAATAAAACACATTCAAACTGATTACTAATCTACAACTCGCATCGTAACAACTGCCTGATTACTAATCTAGTATATAATTACAATAACCCCCCCCCCCCGCCTCAAATCGTTGCACCTGATGAGTTAATGACGTCACCCTGCTGCTGCTCTATATAAGAACGGGAGACGGAGCAGAGCCTCACCATTCTGGCGAATTGCCCGATGATGCTGGATGCAATTACCAGCGAAACGTCGTACTAAAAAATTATAAATGTTGTGGTTTCACGCTTCAACACACCGGTGGGCTAAAGCAGTGAACTATTTGTCTTTTGTCAACGTGACACTTTTTTACTGATTGGCCGTGTCGGGTGGTGGAGGGTTACGACACATTTATAAATAACGCGATCTAAACCCAAAAACGTTGATTATGAATAATATTGGTCGCGAAAGCCTGCTACGTGTTCAACTGAGAAGCATAACGTTTGAACCCCCCCCCCCCCACGCGATCGGGTCCTTCCACCCCCCTCTTCGTGCATGTTGACCGCATTCTCCACACCCACGGCGCTGTAATACGACATGAAAAGCGGACACTGGGAAGTGGGCGTGTCTTTGCCCACACGTGGTGTCATGGTGGCAAAGGGGAGCGTTGCTGCTTTAGGTGCTTGGGGATTGCTAATTGGACACAAACTCTTTGGTTCTTTCGGTAAAGTCACGTAGGTAGAAAAATTAAACTAAATAAATATAATAGAAATACTAATAGAAAAGTTAATGAAATACAAATTAAATAAATATTCAATTATACTTTTTTCTATAAAGAATAATTTTATTGCTTTATTTGATTTGATACATTTTATTTCGGTAAAGTTAAGAAAAATGTATTTATTTATTTTATATCAACTTTATTTTTTTCTATCTACGTGACTTTACCGAAAGAATCTAGATTTGAAACTTTCGTGACTGCAGGAATCCATACTCTTTGGTTCTTTCGGTAAAGTCACGTGGGTAGAAAAAAATTATAAAAGATCACCACGTTTCGATCGCAACACAAGCGGTCGTCCTCAGGCAGATAAAATAATAATCCAAAAGTGGGACTGCTCAACCAGCGAGAGAGCTGTTACAATAAGGTTATATATTCTAGATTTGAAGCTTTCGTGAACTGCAAGGATTCATACTCTTAGTTTTTTTGGTAAAGTTACGTAGGTAAAAAATTAAATTAAAATTAATAAAAAATAAAATAATAAAAATCACGACGTTTCGGAGGCAACACAAGTCTCCGTCATCAGGTGGGACCGTCACAGCCAGATTTGCTGTATCAAATTTTTGCTGTATCAAATCTGGCTGTGACGGTCCCACCTGATGACGGAGACTTGTGTTGCCTCCGAAACGTCGTGACTTTGATTATTTTATTTTCATTAATTTTTATTTCATTTTTTACCTACGTGACTTTACCTAAAAAACTAAGAGTATGAAGGTTATATATGTGGCAATTTCTTGCCCATCACCACATATATAACCTTGTTGCAACAGCTCTCTCGCTGATTCAGCAGTCCCACTGCTGGATTTTTTTTTTCCTCCGCCTGAGGACGACCGCTTGTGTTGCGATCGAAACGTCGTGATCTTCTTCTTGGTTCTTTCGGTAAAGTCACGTAGAAGGGAAATAATAAAATAATAAAAATAAAACATAATAAAATACAATTCTCACGACGTTTCGGCCACAACGCAAGCAGCCGTCCTCAGGTGAAGAACAGGTCTGTCGGAAAGACAGCGTCTTAATGAAACACCACCAGGCTTGGAGCGTATATTTAAGCTGGGTTGGAGGGGGAAGAGCGCCTTGACAAAATAATTTGCATATCAAGAGGAATTTTGCATATTTATGAGAAATTCAGATATGGGATTAGTCATTACTTGTGGAATTCGTAGGAGGTGGGCGGGGGGTTTCAAAGTCATAATATGCCCGTGCATTATGCAGGATTAGCAGCATCAAAGGGAGGGAGTAAGGTTAGCATTAATAAAGGGAAGGAATGTTAATAGTATGGAGCTGCAGCAACTAATATGCTTAGGATGATCGCTTGTGTTGCGATCGAAACGTCGCGATCTTTTCTTATTTTTTCTACCCACGTGACTTTACCGAAAGAACCAAAGAGTATGGATTCCTGCAGTCACGAAAGCTTCAAATCAAAATTGGACACACTTTTGGTCTATAAACATACATCAAATAACATGAAAAAGCAAGGACTTTAACACCTGTTTAAGATCAAGTAAGTATTTACACTAAATAAATACCCTATTTCTGCTTAACAGCAAGAGCGGCGGCGTAGATCGAGACTCGTGGTCGAGTGGCAAGCCCCCTTATTTCCCTTCCTTTGATTGGCTAAGACGCCGTTCTTCGCCGGGGCTGTAATACGATAAAAGCCGACATGAAATAAAAGTGGACACTTAGAAGCAGAGGTCGCAACCGGGTACCCGATATCCGTACCCTACCCGATACCCGGCTACCTGTACCCGGCCGGGTACGGGTAGCCGTTTGCGACCCTGGTGCGGCCGGGTACGGGTAGGCCGCGAGTCACTGGTGAGTCACCGTTTGTCACTCATTTCGGGTAGGGTACGGGTAGGGAACGGGAACCCATTTGCGACCCTGGTGCAGCCGGGTACGGGTAAGGAATCAAAACCCAGTTTGCGACCTCTGCTTAGAAGTGGGTGTGTCTTTGCCCACACGTGGTGTCATGGTGGCAATGGGGGCATGCTTTGGGCGGTTGGGGATCACTAATTGGACACACTTTCTGTTTAAGAGCAAGAGCGGGGCGCGGATCGAGACGGACACGTCGTGGTCGAGAGGCACGCCCCCTTATTTCCCTTCCTTTGATTGGCTAAGACGCCTTCCACATCGACGAAGGTCATCCCCCCCCCCCCCCCAAGCTGCTATGGGGCGCATCTGACATTGACGTCACCCTCATGGGCCTCCCTTGAAGTGTCGCGGGCGGCATGAGAGCCATTGATGCGGTGTTAAGGGTTTGTTGTTGGTATTTTTTTAAAGAAAAGCCTAACAATGTCTTCTCAATTGTACAGCCGTTCTTTATTTCTATTTAATTGCCCGTTCTTAAGTCTTTTCTGAACTATATGCAATGGTACCAATAGGTCAGGAAATATCTGAGACTAAACTGTTTAAATGTAATCTGGTATGGCCAACCACTGAGCTATGTAGCTGGTTTTTTTTCACAGTGACCTGGCTGTCACAACGAAGTGGCTGATATCACCACGGGCAAATTTATAGCAGCAGCCAAATACTCTAAACGCGTAGTGATGTTAATTCTAAATGTGGAGGAGAAAAAAAACTGAGAAAAATCCACGCATGGTGATGGGGGGGGCGGTAGGCTGGTGATACATCTCAGAGTGGCGGGATGTTAACTACTTCGCCTGCTGTACAGGAGGTTCGTGGGTTCGATCCCAAACCCTGACGCCTATTTGGAGTCTGCGTCTCTCTCTCCCCGTGGTGGCCGTGGATTTTTCTCCGGGTCCGCCGTTCTTTTCCCCCTTTTCACATTGAGAATCGACGTCACCGCGGTTTCGAGTCTTCGCGTCCCCCCCCCCCCCCCCCGCTGTACATGTCCACGCGACGACGATGACATCGTCCACTTTGTTGAGGTGCTGTCATTCACGATAACCAGGGTCCCCCCTTCCAAAGAGGAGCTACGTAGGCCTCATGCCCGCTAACAATGAACAGAGTTTCATAGTTGAATGGCTGTACCTTCGAAGCCGACCTCGTCTCAGCTGAGGGCTCTCTTTGGAGTTCCCACTTCGTGACGGATTGGGGCTATGGGAAGGCACCGGACCTTCTGATTCTGCCTTGACTGCCGGGCCGTGCCTCACAGCCGAGGGCTCTCTTCGGTTTCCTGCTTCACGACGGACGGAGCGACGGACGGCGCCGGAATTGGCGCCGGAACTGGCGCCGGAACTGGTGCTGGAACGTCCGCTTTTACGACTTCTTCCTCTTCCTCCTCCTCCTCTTCCTCCTCCTCCTCTTCCTCCTCTTCCTCCTCCTCTTCCTCCTCCTCTTCGGCTTTCCCCTTCACGGTGGGCCGGCCGTCGCGCTCCGCCTTCGGCCCCGAGTTTGGGCCTCCTCCACCCGCCACGGACGCGGTCGCCTTCGCCGCCGCCGCCTTCGCCTTTGCGCCCCCCCCCCTCCGCGGCTTGCCGTCGCCCGCGTGGATCCGGGCGTGCACCACGAGCGTGCCGGACTGCGTGAACGCCTTGCCGCAAACGCCGCACCGGTAGGGCCTCTCTCCCGTGTGCACGCGCTGGTGCGTGACGAGGTTGTCGGAGCGGGCGAACGACTTGCCGCAGGCCGAGCACCGGTACGGCCTCTCCTTGGTGTGCACCCGGTTGTGGCTGCGGAGGTGGTTGGTGCGCGTGAACTCCGCGCCGCACACGCTGCACTGGTAGGGCTTCTCGCTCACGTGCACCCGCTGGTGCGTGCCGAGCGCCTCCGCGTAGGAGAAGGCGTCGCCGCACACGGGGCAAACGTGGCGCTTCTCGTCCGCGTGCGCCCTCTGGTGGACGCGGAAGTCCTCCGACACGGAGAACGCCTCGCCGCAAACCTTGCACTCGTAGGGTTTCTCGCCCGTGTGTGTCCTCTGGTGGTTGATGAGGGCGACCGCCTTGTCCGTGCTGTACGGGCAGTGGGGGCATCGGAAGAGAGCGGGCTCCGTCCAGCCCTTGTGGCGCTTCATGTGGTCCTCCAGCGCGGGCAGGCTGACCACCACCCAGTTGCAGACCGGGCAGAAGATCTTCGTGTCTTCCTCCTCATCGTCTTCGTTCATTTTGGCTGCCCTTTGGTGCCGGGGGACACGGAGCCGGGGGGGGGGGGGAGCACGAGACAGAAGTGAATAAACCTCCCTCCCCTTCAATCCTTCGTGTGTAGCACCGCAGTTTTGCACGAACCTAGAAAACACAGACACGAGAAGGGCATTCATTCATCCTCGCAGTGGCGGCGGCGGCTTTTGGCTCACCAATAGCTTCCGGTCGCCACTTCCACAAAGCAGCCTTAATAACGAACACGTTAATCAGGCCGCGCTAATTACACGCACAAAGCAGAGGTCGCAAACGGGGTTTGATTCCTTACCCGTACCCGGCCGCACCAGGGTCGCAAATGGGTACCCGTACCCTACCCGATACCCGGATACCCGTACCCGGCCGGGTATCGTGTAGGGTACGGGTACCCGATTGCGACCTCTGGGATAAAGCCATATTGCAGGCACGGGTGGGTTGATTCTAGGAACTTGAATTGTGAGAAGAGACAAGACGTTGGGAAATGAGTGACAAACGGTGACTCACCAGTGACTCACGACCTACCCGTACCCGTACCCGGCCGCACCAGGGTCGCAAACGGGTACCTGTACCCGTACCCGGCCGGGTACGGGTAGCCGGGTAGGGTACGGGTATCGGGTACCCGATTGCGACCTCTGGCACAAAGTGCTGGCCGCCGGAAATGGATCACAACACTTCACTGCTGATCTCGTCAAGGAGCGTGGAACCATCATCACGCGAGCTCCGGTCATCTTCACAGCAGCAGCGGCAACTTTTGGCTGGCCGACGAACAAAGACGGTGCGTTCACATGCGCTGCTGCTTCTGCGGCCGTCTGGAACGCTCTTCCCTTGCGATATTAGGAGGCCACTGGGAGCCAACACCATGTGAGACTAGGCTCTAAGAAAAGCTGTCTTGGGTGTGGACCAATCAACTTCAAGGACAGTGCATACATTATCAGAGTTATGTTTTTTGTTTGCATTCCGACCGCAGGTATTGTGGTCAATGCAAACATGACTCCTTGTAAAAAAGGTGTCAGTTTTGTTGCCAGATAAAAGGGTAAAACACTAATTATCATATTTTGCTACTGGCAAATGAGGTTCCAATGGTGGAGCTATGATGCATTTTTACATCATCAACGATATTGACGAACTCGCTCATAGCACGCTAACTGCTACACTACCGCTCCCCACACACACAGACACCACAGAGGCAGGCACAGACAGACAAGCACAGAGACACACACAGAGACACAGACACTCACAGACACACAAAGGCACAGAACACAGACACACACACAAGGACTCTCAGAGACATACACACAGAGACACTGAGAAAAATACAGAGACACTCGAATTTTCAAAAGTAATAATAGAAATAAAATAAAATAATAAATCACGACGTTTTGGAGGCAACACAAGTCTCCGTCATCAGGTGGGACCGTCACAGCTAAAATTACTGCATCAAGTGAAAAAAAACCTAAGAGTATAGACCACACACACACAGACCACACACACAGAGACCTCACACACACACAGACAGACCACACACACATCACACACACAGACCACACACACACACCACACACACACAGACCACCCACACACAGACTACCCCCACACAGACCACACACACGCCACACAGACAGACCACACACACACCACACAAACAGACCACACACACACACAGACCACACACACACCACACACAGACCACACACACCACACACACAGACCAGACTACACACACACACAGACCACCCACACACACCACACAACTTGGTTTAAGGCTGAGTCGACGTAAGGGAAGGCCGCATTCAAATATTCGACACAGAGGGGGCGGTGGTGGTGGATGGAGGTGGTAGTGGAGGTGGTGGTGATAGTGAAGGTGGTGGTAGTGGAGGTGGTAGTGGATGTGGTGGTGGTGATAGTGAAGGTGGTGGTAGTGGAGGTGGTGGTGGATGGAGGAGGTGGTGGTAATGGTGGTTGGAGGTGGTGGTGGTAGTGGTGATGGTGGTGGTGGTAGTGTAGGAGGTGGTGGTGATAGTGAAGGTGGTGGTAGTGGTGGTTGGAGGTGGTGGTGGTAGTGTAGGAGGTGGTAGTGGTGGTGGTAGTGGAAGAGGTGGTGGTGCTAGTGGAGGAGGTGGTAGTGGTGGTTGGAGGTGGTGGTGGTGGTAGTGTAGGAGGTGGTGGTGATAGTGAAGGTGGTGGTAGTGGTGATGGTGGTGGTAGTGGTAGTGTAGGAGGTGGTGGTGATAGTGAAGGTGGTGGTAGTGGTGGTTGGAGGTGGTGGTGGTAGTGTAGGAGGTGGTAGTGGAGGAGGTGGTGGTGCTAGTGGAGGTGGTGGTGGTGCTGGTAGTGTTTGTGGTGGTGGATGGAGGTGGTGGTGGTAGTGGAGGAGGTGGTGGTGGTGGTGGTGTTTGTGGTAGTGGAGGTGGTGGTAGTGGAGGTGGTGGTAGTGGAGGAGGTGGTGGTAGTGGTGGTAGTGAAGGTGGTGGATGGAGGTGGTGGTGATAGTGAAGGTGGTGGTAGTGGATGGAGGAGGAGGTGGTGGAGGTAGTGTTGGTAGTGGAGGAGGTGGTAGTGGTGGTGATAGTGAAGGTGGTGGTAGTGGATGGAGGAGGTGGTGGAGGTAGTGGTGGTAGTGGTGGAGGTAGTGGTGGTAGTGGAGGAGGTGGTAGTGGTGGTGGTAGTGGAGGAGGTGGTAGTAGTGGTGGTAGTGGAGGAGGTGGTGGTGATAGTGAAGGTGGTGGTAGTGGTGGTTGGAGGTGGTGGTAGTGTAGGAGGTGGTAGTGGTGGTGGTAGTGGAGGAGGTGATGGCGGTGACGGTGGTAGTGGTGTTTGTGGTAGTGGAGGTGGTAGTGGAGGAAGTGGTGGTAGTGGAGGAGGTGGTGGTAGTGGATGGAGGAGGTGGTGGAGGAGGTGGTGGTGGTGTTTGTGGTAGTGGTGGTGCTGGTAGTGTTTGTGGTGGTGGATGGAGGTGACGGTGGTAGTGGTGGATGGAGGTGGTGGTGGAGGTGGTAGTGGAGGAGGTGGTGGTAGTGTTTGTGGTAGTGGAGGTGGTGGTAGTGGTGGTGGTGGTAGTGTCTGTAGTGGTGGTGCTGGTGGTGGTAGTGGAGGTGGTGGTAGTGGAGGTAGTGGTAGTGGTGGTGATAGTGAAGGTGGTGGTAGTGGAGGAGGTGGTAGTGGTGGTGATAGTGAAGGTGGTGGTAGTGGATGGAGGAGGTGTTTGTGGTGGTTGTGGAGGAGGCGGTAGTGGTGGATGGAGGTTGTGGTGGTAGTGGATGGAGGAGGTGTTTGTGGTGGTGGTAGTGTTAGTGGTGGTTGTGGAGGAGGTGGTGGATGGAGGAGGTGTTTGTGGTGGTGGTAGTGGTGGAGGTGGTGGTAGTGTTTGTGGTGGTTGTGGAGGAGGCGGCTCGTGGCGGTGACGGTGGCCGTGAGCCGCAGGCCCCGCTGGGCACGCGGGGGGAGTCGAACCGGGTCTCTTGAGGCGGCTTCGTTCGCGGTCACTGCCGCAACCGCTGCGCCACCGCTCTCCCGCCTCGCTCCACAGCCAAAAGGCGCACGCCGGTGACGTCACGGCTCGCGCCTACGAGCGTTCTGACGTCACGACTCCGCTACGAGCGTTCTGACGTCACGACTCCGCTACGAGCGATCTGACGTCACGGCTCGAGCCGACGAGAGTTCTGACGTCACGGCTTGCTACAACGAGCGTTCTGACGTCACGGCTCGAGCCGACGAGCGTTCTGACGTCACGGCTCGCTACGACGAGAGTTCTGACGTCACGGAGCGCTACGACGAGCGTTCTGACGTCACAGCTTGCTACGACGAGCGTTCTGACGTCACGTCACGCGTGCCGACCGACGGCAGGAGGCGTTTTGACGTCACGTCTCGCGTACGCGAGCGAGTGACGTAGCAACGAGTCGCACCGATGCCCTTTAACTGACAAAATGGTTACGTGACGTCACGTTCACAACAACAGGCTACGTCATCATCACAATAAGCCATTTTCAATCCACTGTTGGATGATAGGGTGGGGAGGGGCTGGGTGGGGAGGGGCTGGGTGGGGAGGGTGGGGCTGGGTGGGGAGGGTGGGGAGGGGCTGGGTGGGGAGGGTGGGGTGGGGCTGGGTGGGGAGGGTGGGGTGGGGCTGGGTGGGGCTGGGTGGGGAGGGTGGGGCTGGGTGGGGCTGGGTGGGGAGGGGCTGGTCACCCCGTGGTGCCCTTATAAAACTCAACGTTTAACCTACTCACGCCGGCTTGTGCCCGCCCTCACAGTCGGCCATATTTGCGGAATACACCACGCCGCCGTTGACCCTGCAGGCCATTGACCGAGCAACCCGACGTTCCTACCAGCTCCCTCCGCAGGAATGTGTTGTTAAACTGCAATGGCGGGGAACCTTTTTTCTGCCAAGAGCCATTTGGATATTTCTATAACATCATTCGCGGGCCATACAAAAATGCTCAACTTAAAAATTCGCCCGTGAGATTTGGTCAAACATTTCATTAACTCACCCCCTAATGCGTTGGGCTGGAACTGCTTCTCTTTGGCGAGGCGTGGTGATGATGTTAGCTGCTGGTATTGATGATGTCACTGCTACTCGCAACTGCTTTTCCAGGTTTGCTCCTAGATTTGTTGAATTTCAAGTCCCGCCTGCGGTTGCCTTGGCAGGGCCAGACCCCAATGATTCCGCGGGTCTTATACAGCCCACGGGCCGGACGTTCCCCACCCCTGTGTTAAAGAGACAGACCCCCATAACATCATTCGTTGGCACGGTTTGCACGGTTGGCGCGGTTGTCAACGTTGGCACGGGTGGCACGGGTGGAAAACGTTTGCACGGTTTGCACGGTTGGCGCGGTTGTCAACGTTGGCACGGGTGGCACGGGTGGAAACACGTTGGCACGGTTTGCACGGGTGGAAAACGTTGGCACGGTTTACACGGGTGGCAACGTTGGCACGGGTGGCACGGGTGGAAAACGTTGGCACGGTTTTCACGGGTGGCAACGTTGGCAAGGTTTGCACGGGTGGAAAACGTTGGCACGGTTTACACGGGTGGAAAACGTTGGCACGGGTGGCACGGGTGGAAAACGTTGGCACAGTTTGCACGGGTGGAAAACGTTGGCACGGGTGGAAAACGTTGGCACGGGTGGGACGGGTGGCACGGGTGACGTACTCGACACCGCTGCTATCCGTGCCAATAACCCACCGCTCGCTGGCAAAGTGACAGACTCACTCCGCGGGCCTCCGTGTTTTACGATTGTTTAATAAATAACGCGTGCACCAATATCGATGTTCGAACATCGGGGGCAAAAAACAACAGCGCGCGCGTGTTGTGTGTGTGTGTTGGAGAGTTAAACCCACGTCGACAAAACGTGGCCAATTCTTTACCGGTTAGACCGCTATGCCGGTTGTGTGTTGGGAGAGTAAACCCACGACAACATTTACAAATATAGTGTAATGTATAATAGTGTATAGTGTAGTGTATGGTGTAGTGTATAGTGTAGTAGTGTATAGTGTAGTGTATAGTGTAGTAGTGTATAGTGTAGTGTATAGTGTGTAGTGTATAGTGTAGTGTATAGTGTAGTGTGTAGTGCAGTATACTAGTTACAAAACTCCACCAGTGTATTGAAGAATACATCCACTACAACATTCACAATTATAGTGTAGTGTATAGCGTAGTGTATGGTGTAGTGTATAGTGTAGTGTATAGTGTAATATACTAGTACAGCACTACACCACTTGTGTGTTGAAGAATACATCCATTACAACGTTTACAATTATAGTGTAGTGTATAGTAGTGTATAGTGTAGTCTATAGTGCAGTGTATAGTGCAGTGTATGGTGTAGTGTGTAGTGAATTGTGTAGTGTATAGTATAGTATATAGTGTAGTGTATAGTAGTGTATAGTGTAGTGTATAGTGTAGTGTATAGTGGTGTACAGGTTCGTGTATAGTGTAGTGTATAGTGTAGTGTATAGTGTAGTGTATAGTGCAGTGTATAGTGTAGTGTGTAGTGTAGTGTATAGTGCAGGGTATAGTGTAGTATACTAGTACAGCACTACACCACGTGTGTGTTGAAGAATACATCCACTACAGCATTTACATGTATAGTGTAGTGTATAGTGTAGTGTATAGTGCAGTGTATAGTGTAGTGTATAGTGTAGTGTATAGTGTAGTGTATAGTGTAGTGTATAGTGTAGTGTGTAGTGTAGTATACTAGTTACAGAACTACATCAGTTGTGTGTTAAATAATACATCCACTACTACATTTACAATTATAGTGTAGTGTATAGTAGTGTAGTGTATATAGTGTAGTGTATAGTAGTGTAGTGTATAGTAGTGTAGTGTATGGTGTAGTGTATAGTAGTGTATAGTGTAGTGTATAGTAGTGTAGTGTATATAGTGTAGTGTATAGTAGTGTAGTGTATAGTATAGTGTAGTGTGTAATGTATAGTGTAGTGTATAGTGTAGTGTATAGTAATGTATAGTGTAGTATATAGTGTAGTGTATAGTATAGTGTGTAGTGTATAGTGTAGTGTATAGTGTGGTGTATAGTGTAGTGTATAGTAATGTATAGTGTAGTGTACAGTGTAGTGTATAGTGTAGTGTATAGTGTAGTGTATAGTGTAGTGTATAGGTTGTGTGTTGGGGAGTGTAAACCAGCTACAACATTTACGATTCGAGCAGCTGTGACGTTTCGCCGGTAATTCCAGCTCAGCATCATCAGTCGGACAGCCACAGACTCCCTCCCGTTTTCTTCTTAAATCGACGGGGGGGATAAATGTGGGGTTCATATTCTCGGTTCTTTCGCTAAAGCCGCGTAAACAGAAAACAAAAAACTCAAAGATAAATTTCGATTTAAAGCTTTCGTGACTGCAGGGATTCATCTTCTTGGTTCTTTCGGTAAAGTCACGTAGAAGGAAAATAATAAATAATAAAAATAAAACATAATAAAATAATTCTCACGACGTTTTGGCCACAACGCAAGCAGCTGTCCTCAGGTGAAGAACAGGTCTGTCGGAAAGACAGCATCTGAATGAACACCACCAAGCTTGGCAGCGTAACTGTTGATATGCAAATTCCTTTGTCAAGGCGCCCTTCCCCCTCCAACCCAGCTTAAATATACGCTCCAAGCCTGGTGGTGTTCATTCAGATGCTGTCTTTCCGATAAACCTGTTCTTCACCTGAGGACGGCTGCTTGCGTTGTGGCCGAAACGTCGTGAGAATTATTTTATTATGTTTTATTTTTATTATTTTATTATTTCCCTTCTACGTGACTTTACCGAAAGAACCAAGAAGACTCCAAGATAACACAAGCGGTCTTCATCAGGCGGAGAGAAAAGCGGATGCAAGCCTCCAAATGTAGCTGCTTATGAGGGCCATCATTGGGGCTCAAGATCGGCTTGCAGAGGGAGGCATCTTGATCCCCATGTTCTAACTCCACCCCATTCCCTCGGCCTTGTCTCAACTGAGGATTTCCTCCAGTCCCCGCTTCACACTCAACAGGGAGACGAAGGAGTCCTGAACCTCCGTTGTTCCAACTTTCCCCGTCGGCAGTTGTCCCACTACCGGGTGAGTCATTGGGGCTCCCGCTTCACGATCGGCTGGCAGGGAGAGGCATCTTGATCCCCACGTTCTAACTCTACCCCATTCCTTCGGCCGAGTCTCAACTGAGGATTTCTTCCGGTTCCTGCTTCACACTCAACAGGGAGACGGAGGAGTCCGGATCTCCGCGTTCCAACTTTACCCGCGGCTCCGTCTCGCTCCCGTGGCAATCCTCGGCCTCCCGCTTCACGATCGGCAGGGAGAGGGGGCGGCACGGAACGACCTCGCCACCGGGCTCCACCTTCACCCCCGGCCACGCCTCGAAGCCTCCGACGTCCCCTTCCTGTTCCTCCTTCACCTTCGCCGAGGACGCGTCTCCGCCTCCGCCTCCGCTCTCCGCCTTCATTACCTCCGGGCGTGTCTCGACAAAGCCGGCGGGCTTTTCCCGGCGTTCTTCTTCCGACGCAGCGGGCGAGGGAGGAGGAGGAGGGCTCACCGCCGCCTCTCTGGGGAAAGTCGCGCGCTCACCCCCAGACCCAGGCGGCTCCGGTAGGGCGGCCGTCGCCCCCTTGCTCGCGATGCACCCCCGGCGTTTCCCCTTCCCCGCCACGCTCCCTCCGTCCGCGCCCTCGGGAGCGCCGCCCGACGGCGTCGACGCCTCTCCGCCCTCGCCTCGGGGCCCCTTCCCCGCCGCGGCCGTCGCCGCCCCGTGCACCTTCTGATGCACGACCAGGGACCTCCGCTGGGCGAAAGAACGGCCGCACACGCCGCACGCGTACGGCCTCTCTCCCGTGTGCGTCCTGCGGTGGACCGCGAGGGCCCGCCGCTGCGTGAACGTCCTCCTGCACACCGCGCACCTGTAGGGCCTCTCGCCCGTGTGCACCCTGCCGTGCGCACGGAGGGCCCTGGGGTCCGCGAACGCCCTGCCGCACGTGCCGCAAGCGTACGGCCTCTCTCCCGTGTGCGTCCTGCGGTGCGTGCTCAGGGCCCCGGACCGCTGGAAGGCCATGTCGCACGAGTCGCACTTGTACGGCTTCTCGCCCGTGTGCACCATCCGGTGGGTGTTCAGCGCCCCGGCGCACACGAACGCCTTGCCGCAGACGGGGCACGCGTACGGCCTCTCGCCCGTGTGGATCCTCTTGTGGATGTAGAAGCCCCCGGGGTTCGTGAACGCCTTGCCGCACACGTCGCACGCGTACGGTTTCTCGCCAGTGTGGATCCTCGCGTGAGTCGACAGGGTGCCCGGGTGGGCGAAGGCCTTGCCGCAGGTGACGCACCTGAAGGGCTTCTCGCCCGTGTGGGTCCTGTGGTGGCTGCGCAGGTAGTCCGAGCGCGTGAAGTTCTTGCCGCAAACCGTGCACCCGTAGGGCCTCTCGCCCGTGTGGATTACCTGGTGGCTGCGGAAGTGGTCGACGCGGGTGAAGTCCATGCCGCAGACGCCGCAGCGGTACGGCTTCTCGCCCGCGTGGAACCTCTGGTGAGAGCGGAGAGCTTCCGGCTCGGCGAAGGCTTTCTTGCACACGGGACAACGGTGAGGCCTCTCCTCCACGTGGACCCGCTGGTGGGAGCGGAAGTCCTCCGGCTGAGCGAACCCCTCCCCGCACACGCGGCACTTGTAGCGCCTCTCGCCGCCGTGAGTTCGCTGGTGGCTCATCAAGGTGAAGGGTTTGTCCGTCCGGTACGGGCAGTGGGGACACTGGTACATCACCGGTTCGGTGCGGCCCCGGTGACGCTTCATGTGGTCCTCCAGCGCCGGCGGGCTGACCACTACCCAGTCGCACACCGGGCAGTGGAGCCTCGTCGCTGATTCGTCGTTCATTCTGGGTGCTGGGGGAGGGCGGAGGAAGGGAATTAACAGGAATGATGTTGATGCCTTCGTGGTGAGTGCCGGGACACAGAGAGGGCAGACACTCGCAGTGTAATAGTAGTGTAGTGTATAGTGTAGTGTATAGTAGTGTATAGTAGTGTATAGTAGTGTAGTGTGTAGTGTATAGTAGTGTCGTGTGTAGTGTATAGTGTAGTGTATAGTAGTGTATAGTGTAGTGTATAGTAGTGTATAGTGTAGTGTATAGTAGTGTATAGTAGTGTGTAGTGTATAGTAGAGTAGTGTATAGTGTAGTGTATAGTAGTGTAGTGTATAGTGTAGTGTATAGTGTAGTGTAGTATGTATGTTCAACTTTATTGCACTGTACATAGCCAACCGCGCAACAAACTGAACACAACAACAACAAGCAGCAGTTCTAGATAAATTAGTTTGTCAATCTCGACGATGATGACGATGATTTACATGTGCATCGCAACTCCCAGTGGTACCCTAATATCGGAAGGGAAGAACCTTCCAGACGGCCGCACAATCCGCAGCATCCGAAAGTGCCACACGATGCAGTGGCTGTCTTCACTTACAAAGACAAATATCCCCCGGGTAGCCTTGAGCAGGCTGTTGGGGCAATTGCTGTTGGTAGCGAGTAGCAGCAGCACCTATACACAAAGATCCCCCGGGTAGCCTTGAGCAGGCTGTTGGGGCAAGTGCTGTTAGTAGCGAGTAGCAGCTGCAGCTATACACAAAGGTCACCCGTGTAGCCTCTAGCAGGCTGCAGGGGCAAGTGCTGTTGGTAGCGAGTAGCAGCAGCACCTATACACAAATATCCCCCGGGTAGCCTTGAGCAGGCTGCAGGGGCAAGTGCTGTTAGTAGCGAGTAGCAGCTGCAGCTATACACAGACAAAGGTCACCCGTGTAGCCTCTAGCAGGGCTGTAGGGGCAAGTGCTGTTGGTAGCGAGTAGCAGCACCACCTATACACAGACAAAGATCCCCCGGGTAGCCTTGAGCAGGCTGTAGGGGCAAGTGCTGTTGGTAGCGAGTAGCAGCACCTATACACAGACAAAGTCCACCCGTGTAGCCTCTAGCAGGGTTGTAGGGGCAAGTGCTGTGAGTAGCGAGTAGCAGCAGCACCTATACACAAAGGTCACCCGTGTAGCCTCTAGCAGGGCTATAGGGGCAAGTGCTGTTAGTAGCGAGTAGCAGCAGCAGCTATACACAAAGGTCACCCGTGTAGCCTCTAACAGGGCTGTAGGGGCAAGTGCTGTTAGTAGTAATGAGTAGCAGCAGCTATACAGACAAAGGTCCCCCGTGTAGCCTCTAGCAGGCTGCAGGGGCAAGTGCTGTTAGCGAGCATGAGATGGGCGGCCAGCACCACGCTCGCCCGACCGCCTTTGTATCTCCGATGTCGACTACTACACACCGAGCCGCGTACTCATTTGAGGCCGAGTCAACCTAGGGGAGTCCCAGCCGTGAGCGGGGCAATCGAACCCGGGACCCTGCAGGGTCCGTAGGGCGGCAGCGCTGCGCTAACCGCTGCGCCACCGCTCCCCAACTCACACAAAGACAAAGGCGCTCACCCACGCGCGCCACCCGGTATAGCCTCACCAGAATGTCGGGGCAAGTGGCACACGACACAGAAGAAGGGGGGGGGTGGTGTGGGTGGTCAGCACCACGCTCGCCCGGCCGCCTTTGTCTCTCCGCCCCCCCCCCCCCCCCCCCCAGTGGCGATGTTTAACGACTACGATACACACCACGGCTCAACCACGTAACACATTTGAGGCTGAGTCGACCTAGGGGGCCGATGGTCCTGGACGCGGTTGTCGTCTCGCCGGTGACGTCGATCCAGCCAGCTCGTGCGTGACGTCCACCCCCCACACACCGGCGGCGCCCAAGTGACGTCATGTCACCGTGGCGGCGACTGGGAATAGGGTGTGACGTCACGGACGCACACGGTGGAGAGCGATTGGGTGGTTGGGTGAGTGGTTTGGTGAGTGGGTGAGTGGATGGGTGAGTGGGTGGTTGGGTGAGTGGGTGGTTGGGTGAGTGGGTGAGTGAGTGGTTGGGTGGGTGAGTGGTTGGGTGAGTGGTTGGGTGATTGGTTGGGTGAGTGAGTGGTTGGTTGGGTTAGTGGTTGGGTGATTGAGTGGTTGAGTGAGTGGTTGAGTGGATGTGTAAGTGGTTGGGTGATTGAGTGATTGAGTGAGTGGTTGGTTGTGAGTGTTACTGTATCATTCCGCTTACTGCATCGTACCGTTATAAGTGCACATTCCACGTGGTAGCGGAGCTCATTCCACGTTATAACGGAGCACATTGAACGTTATAACGGAGCACATTCCACGTTATAACGGAGCACATTCCACGTTATAACGGAGCACATTCCACGTTATAACGGAGCACATTCCACGTTATAACGGAGCACATTCCGCTTTCGGGTTAGATTGCGTAAGTAGAAATGTGTCGTAACCCCCCACCGCCCGACACAGCCAATTAGTAAGTCTGTCGCGAAAGCAAAACACCAATCAGTTACTACTTCGGCCTAACCGGTGTGTTGAAGAGTAAATCCACAACATTTGCGACCCAAAAACCTTTCCTCCTTGGTTCTTTCGGTAAAGTCACGTAGAGGGCCGTCCATAAATTACGTCACGCGATTTTGGACCATTTTTGACCCCCCCCCCGCCTTCGTCACAATAAGTCAGACCCCCCCCCCCCTCAAATAAGACGTCACAAAGCTCTGCCCCCCCCAAAAAATATAAAACATGCTTCAAATCGCTTTAAACTATTGTCATTGTAGTGCGTAGTTGTGACGTCACATTTCTCAAACACCCCCCCCCCTCGTCACACATCATCACAAATGTCTGACCCCCCCCCCCCCCCCCAGGTACGTGACATCATTTATGGACGGCCCCACGTACCTACGTGATACTGAAAGAACTAACGGAGTATGGATTCCCGCAGTCACGAAAACTTCAAATCAAGACCAAAAAAACATTTATTATAAATATTGGTCGCGAAAGTCAACGTGTGAAATTTGTGCGGGTTTTTACACGCTTTAATTTAACTCGCTCCCTGCTGTTGTTGCTGTCGTATCCTCAAATCTTGCAACTCAATTTTAACCCACTTCCCAATGTGGAATCGACTGCAAACTTGGTATACTTATGTCATACTGATGACAATACTATATTCTATCATTAAAAATAAAACATTTTTTAAACATTCTCTTTTATATGTTTTGTTTCAGCTTGGCTCTAATTGTCCACGGTAAACTGACGTTGGCTGTTAAATCACCACGGCCCCTTATGTTACGGCAAACTTCGGGGCCACTTCCTGGAGTCGTGGAGTTCTTCCATTACGAGTACGGTACATTTCATTAAAGCGTGCATTTCAAAAAGTTGTTTTAAATATCACTTATTTTTTCTTTCGGTGCCTGGACAGCAAAAACCTTCTCCCACCCCCCACCGCTAAAGCAGCACACAGAGAGCCCGCCCAGAGCCCCGCCCAGTTGCGCTCCACCTCTGTAGCTCGCGAGATTCCTGCTGCACGGCATAGCCACGTCACTGCTCGCTGTGACGTTGCTGCTGCCGCCGCCATGGAAGAAGGCACGCGGAGCCATCTCGTGTCTGTCTCGTCACCGTCGCCATCTTGTTTCTGTCTCCATCTTGTCTCCGTCGTCTTTATCTCGCCTTTGTCTCATCTCCGTCTTCTTCATCGTCTTGTCTCCGTCTCGATTTCCATCTTGTCTCGTCTGTGTTGTGTAGTGTATAGTAGTGTATAGTAGTGTATAGTGTAGTGTATAGTAGTGTATAGTGTAGTGTAGTGCCTCAATAGAGCTCAATGTGTTCGCTTACCGATGTTGTATATGCCAGATTATAAAATTTTGATAAAAATACTAAAAATTAATGAAATTTCGAAAAATGTGTAAATGGCATAAATCATGTTAATGTGTGTAATTATATGCATAAATTATGATAATCACGGAGATAATCGTATTAATTTATGCAAATGCTTGCAATTATGTTAATGTCTGCAGTTATGATAATTAGACTTAGCTTCGTTATCCAGAGTTGTATCAATCAGGATAAAACGATTATCTTTGATTAAACATTTATTGATTATCTTAGTGTGTTTATGTTATGTTATGTTAGGTCTCCAAATTCATACTCATCGCAGGTTACAGTTCTTATGAATAAGACAGTTTTGCATGGACTGGGAAAGAAGCACTCGAACACTTGGTGTTAAGCACTTTTAATACTAAACAAACATGACACTCTAATATGCAAAGGCAAAAGTATACGTCAATAGATTCATCGGCAAGATTATGCAATCAACGCAAATAAATGACTCAAACATTTCTTATTCATGTAACTCGACGGCAGCAACTGCTTTGCACGATCAGTTGATATTGAACGCACCACCTTGAAATGGCAACCCTTTTTGAAACACAAAGATAACTTTTTGAAAGTCTTATTCGTGTGCGTTTTGTGTGTGCGTTGTCCCCTTGTAAAATTAATTAAATTTTTCTTAGAGCCGGGAGTTGTGTCGTTAGCTTGTGGGGTGGGGGAGGGAATATACAAACAGCGCCCAGAGAGGTTCTCTCTGGCTTGGGCGTGGCCGCAGCGAGCCCGTTCTGCTTTCTCTCTCCACTGCTCGATTGAGCGGCATTGGCACGATGCTCGCCGTCGTGGTGCGCGATGATTCCGTCGTCGGATAGCGCGCAGCTCCTCCACGAGTCGACACGACGCTCGGTGACGCCCGAGTCGTGCTGCTCGTGCGCTCTCTCTCTCCGCTGCTGGATGACGAGTTGGCACGACGCTCGCCGATGTGGTGCGCGATGATTCCGTCGTCGCTGCTGGACGTCTCGTCTGTTCTCACTGGGTGTTGGTCGGTGTGTGTGTATCAAACACACGGAGCATTCAATGGCGCTCTCTCTCTCTTGGTGGCAGCTCCAGGCTTCTCCACTGCTGGATGATTGTTGAGTCGGCATGATGCTCGCCTTCGGCAGTGCTTCTGCTGCTGCCCCTCTCTCCTTGATCGCTGCCAACTTCACACGGACACCCGCCCTTACTTCAGGCTGTGTTGGCTCAGGCTTCTGGACGACGCGGCTGTGCGCGCTCACCAGCTTGGAGCGCTCTGGCGATGAACGATGGCTCTTGTTGCTCATCCGCTGCTGCTCGTCCTTTCCGATGCTCGCTTGGTCGACGCTTGGCGATTTCCGCCCTTTCTACAGGTTGATTGCTTGTTGTCACTCTCTCTTCTCCATACTTTCCTTTGTTCGTGCAGCTGCCAGCTTCACTCGCACTTAACCACACCTCGACACTTCGTTCTGCGAGAAGCGACACCTGCCATTGGTATCGGTGTTTGCTCCCTCAAGACACTCCGCCGGCCGGAGCACGGCTGAACCCAGCCTCGACCCAGGTTGAACTCAGATTTCTGCGACTCGAACGACCCCTCCTCGTTCCATCTCTCATCGAGGCACCCTGTCGCAACGCCGCGTCGCAAGCCGAGTTGCAAGACTGAGCACGACTCGAACCAGACTGCTCATTCGTGATGTGCGCTTGTGCTTAAACTCAAAAACGTGAACACCCTCTCCTCTCTGCGCGTCTCTTGCGAGAGGAAAACAAACAAAACGAAAAAAACCAGACACCCTCCCGACCCCTCCTCGCGACCCTTTCTAACCCCCTTAAGTATTTATGGTGCCATCTGTTTGTGCCAGACCGTTGGAGACAAAGGTGGCTGAGGAGATTTTTGTAATACATTTATGTGGTCCTGTATGTTACATTTATTCTTGATATTTATTATGAGTTCCCTCAGTCTTAGTATATCGTGGTTATTATTCGGTCTATGTTTAATGAATTTTCGTAATGATCCTCGTTACATCATTATTTTGAGGGCTTGCCAAGTTTGGTTATGCGTTTGTCTCCAGGGATTGGTGTTTATTCTGAGTTATATTTCAATGTCCTGAGGTTAAGTGTAACTAAGTTTCCACTTAAGCTTTCTGGAATTCGTATGCTTTAGTTTTTGGTAAGGTCATGTAGATAGAAACATACAATACAAAATAATATATGCGGTGAATACGAGTAATATAAGAGAATATCTAATAACAAGCCCCTATTGTAGGCTGCAGTCTTATACCGTTGATTTTATTTTTTGTTAAGTTTCTACTTTTCGTTAAGGAAAACGTTAAAGAAAACGCGAGTTGCAATAGTTGTTTTTCTCTGCTCTGCGCCTTATCCGTGCATCTCCAGACGTCTTGGGAAGGTTAGGCCATCGACCTTTTGTCCATCTGGATGTATCTGACCTCTCTGTGCTCTGAAGTCTTGTCGTTTAATGGCCCTCCCCGTTTCACAGATTCCTCGTGTGCTTGTGAGGAGTAGAGGCTGTTTTCATTATTTAATTTAAAATATATATATGTATAATAATAAAAAATGTTGGCCTAGTTATTCTTAATATTAATTTTTGAAAAACAGGGCATAGATACAACACCGACCATTCCCCTGTTAACGACGGGCTGTTGCAGGTACAGTAAATATTCATTAATGCATTAACCACGTTTCTTTTAACGTTGTGTGTTCATACTATTGGTAGAATGAGAATAGGTTTTCCCCTTTTTTCTGGAAACAAAACAGCTGTGTTAAGATGTTAAAACGCCAAACTGAAACCTTTTACAAGGCATCATGTCTGCATTAACTACAATATTTGTGGTCAGAATGCAAAGATAGACAAAAACTGATGCCAGATTTGGAATCAGCACCCCACAATTACCTTATGACCGGTGGAATACCTTATGCCAGAAAAAGTGTGTTGACCAGTGTTATCAGAGTACGGTTTTTGTTTGCATTTTGACCACAAGCATTGTGGTTAATGCAGACATGACTCCTTGTAGGTTTCAGTTTGGTGTTTTAACATCTTAACACAACTGTTTTGTTGCCAGAAAAAATGGGAAAACCTACTCTCATATTTTGGTACTGTCAAAGGAGGTCACCATGATGTTGGTAGTATCTTTACGTATTCATATCCATCGTTCAAATATAAGTTCGATTTTTGGGGTGAAAAAAGGTTAACTTGAGGTCCTGTCGTAACGGATTAAGCCTTTAACGTGCATTTCCTATAGTTTCTTAACGACCAAATCACTTAACAATAAATATTTACTGTACCTACAACAAAAATCTTACTTTGGGCTACGAGAGATTTCTCCTGTATTGGTCCAAATTAGTTTCAGAAATGCATTCAAAGTTTTGTAACTTACATTTCATTGAAATGAAGTTGTTAGGTAAACTACCCCCTGTGATTAAAACTAAAACTATACCCTAAAATCAAAACGGGGCCACCCCCTCTAACCCCCCCCCCCCCCCCTTCCCGATATCTTAGTTTTAAAAAAGACAGACAAATGTTCTGGTAATAATAATTATTTTAGTATAGGTGGTGTTTAGAGGTCAAGAGAGAAAGAAAATTGAATGCGTTTTTGTCACCAGGGGTGGGCTGGGCAGTCCCATGTGGAAATGTTTGCATCGGCCGCGGAGGCCAAAAATACAAAGATCCCCCGTATATCCCATAACAGACTGTTGGGACAAGTGCCATTAGCCAGCACCTATGAAGGCCAGCAACCACACCCGGCTGCCTTTGTCTCCCCAGCGACGATGTTTACACATCGCATCAGGTACTCATTTCATGCCGTGTAGACCTAGGGGAGGCTCAGATAATCGTCACCGGTGTTGGCCGTGAGCGGGAATCGAACTCGGGTCACCGGGTTATTAGCGCAGCGTAGTGCTAACCGCTGCACCACCGCCCCCATGCACACACAGACACGCACACTCACATTCCTGGTGCTTCTGCACAGATCGAAAGGGGTCTTGTCCTTTGCTCCACGTGATCCACCCTCTTGTCTCGACCCCATTCTCTAGCGATACTTCCACGCCAACGGCGGTCCATGGCTGTCCGGTGTCTTCCTCCCATCTCCACATCGTTCGCATCGACATCGACATCGGTTCTCAAACGAGGACCTCATCCTTCCAGTTCCCGTTTCGCGACCGACAGGGAGACCGAGCGATCTTGAGCTCCGAGTTCTAACTTGACCCCTTCCCCTCAGCCGAGTCTCAACTGGGGATTTCCTCCGGTTCCTGCTTCACATTCAACAGGGAAACGGAGGAGTCCTGAGCTCCGCGTTCCGTCTCGCTCCCGTGGCAATCCTCGGGCTCCCGCTTCACGATCGGCAGGGAGGGGAGGCGGCACGGAACAACCTCGCCAGCGGGCTCCACCTTCACCCCCGGCCACGCCTCGAAGCCTCCGACGTCCCCTTCCCGTTCCTCCTTCACCTTCGCCGAGGACACGTCTCCGCCTCCGCTATCCGCCTTCATTACCCGCGGGCGCGTCCCGACAAAGCCGGCGGGCTTTTCCCGGCGTTCTTCTTCCGACGCAGCGGGCGCGGGAGGAGGAGGGCTCGCCGCCGCCTCTCCGGGGAAAGTCGCGCGCTCACCCCCAGAGTCAGGCGGCTCCGGTAGGGCGGCCGTCGCGACCTTGCGCGCGATGCACTCGCGACGCATGCTCCTCGTCACCCTCCCTCCGTCCGCCGCGTCCGCGCTTCCGGCGTCGGGGGAGCCGCCCGACGACGTCGACGCCTCGGCGTCCTTGCCGCAGGCGCTCTCCCTCGCGTGGACCCTCTTGTGGACGACGAGCGTGTGGGAGCGAGCGAACGTCTTCGCGCACACCGTGCACCTGTACGGCCTCTCTCCCGTGTGGATCCTGCTGTGCGTGGAGAGGGTCCCCGGATCTGCGAACGCCTTCGCGCACACCGTGCACTCGTAGGGTCTCTTGCCCGTGTGGGTCCTCCTGTGCACGCTCAGGGCCCACGAGTCGGCGAATGCCTTTCCGCACGCGTCGCACACGTAGGGCTTCTCGCCCGTGTGGATCCTGTTGTGGATGACGAGCGCCCCCGAGCGAGCGAACCGTTTTCCGCACGTGGCGCACCCGTAGGGCTTCTCGCCCGTGTGGATCCTGTTGTGGACGAAGAGCGTCCCCGAGAGAGCGAACCGTTTTCCGCACGTGGCGCACCCGTAGGGCTTCTCCCTCGTGTGGATCCTCTGGTGGTTGCGGAGCTGCAGCGAGCGCGTGAACTCCATCCCGCAGACGGTGCAGTGGTAGGGCTTGCCGCCGGCGTGCGTCTTTTGGTGCTCGTGAAGATCCTCCGAGCGGTTGAACGCCAGTTCGCAATCGGTGCACTTGTAGGGCTTCTCCTCGGCGTGCGCCGCTTGGTGCTCGCGGAAAACCTCGGCGTCGATGAACACCTTGCCGCACTTGGCGCACTTGTGAGACTCGCGCGCGTCGTGCGTCGCCTGGTGCTCGATGAAGACGTTCAGCGTGTCCGTGTTGAACGGGCAGTGGGGGCACTGGAAGAGCGTGGGCTCCGTCCACCCCCTGTGCCGCTTCATGTGGTCCTCCAGGGCGGGCAGGCTGACCACGAGCCACTTGCAGATCGGGCAGAAGATCTTCATCTCTCCGTCCGTTCCGTTCCGCGTCGGCACTGGGGCACGCAGGGAGGCAGGCGGAAATTCCTTCCTTTTACACGTTCGATACAACGGGTAGGGTTACGTTCCGGAAAGCCGCCGCGTTTGGCAATGCCAAGGCCTCGTGGTGAATGGGGGACTAGGACAACAGGCGGCCATGGTCACACTCGCCGAAGCCTAAGTAACGTTGTGCCATTCATACTCTTTGGTTCTTTCGGTAGTCATGAAGGTAGAAAAAATAATGGCTCACAACGTTTCGATCGCAACACAAGCAAAAAAAAGTGCTGAAGCAGTTTTTTTTGCTTGTGGTTGTCCCACCTGATGACGATTGCTTGCGTTGCGATCAAAACGTCGTGATCTTTTATTATTTTTTCCACCTAAGTGACTTTACCGAAAGAACCAAAGAGTATGGATTCCTGCAGTCACGAAAGCCTCAAACCAAGGTTGCGCCATTCCTTCACCAAAACACAATAAAATACATGATAGCATCGTAAAAAATACACACGTGTTCAAATACCATAATTATATGAACTTTGAAAGTTGATGTCGGCCTGCAGAAGTACAGGTCGACATCCAGCGTTCACACGAACCGGGGTGGCCGTCCAGATAAAAGTAATTTTAGTTTATCTTCCGGTTTCATTCAGATGACGCGCATGCTCGCATACGAGCGTGCACGTCATCGGAGCGGTGGAGGGTTAGTGGAATTTATCCAACAACAAAAAATGTGGCACTCTGGCGTGTCGCAGCATTGTAAATGAGGGCCTGCTGAGAAAGTCACCGCGTCTGCTCAGCAACCCATGACCACCACTCATCTGTGGATTTTTCAAGCGGCAATGTGGAGCGACAATGTGGACTTCCCACCGGTCTTAAACTAAACGATGTTCCCTTACTTCTAGATTTGAAGCTTTCGTGACGTCAAGGATTCATATTCTTGGGTTTTTTCGGTAAAGTCACGTAGGTAAAAAATAATTTTTCATTAATAAAATAAAAATCACGAAGTTTCGGAGGCAACACAAGCTTCCGTCTTCAGGTGGAACCGTCACAGCACGATTGCTGTATCTTACTTGATACATTGCTGTATCTTACTTGATACAGCAATCGTTAGCGCTACGCTGTATCTTACTTGATACAGCAATCGTGCTGTGACGGTTCCACCTGAAGACGGAGGCTTGTGTTGCCTCCGAAACGTCGTGATTTTGATTTTATTTTTTATTTTACTTTTATTAATTTGAATTTTTTTACCTACGTGACTTTACCGAAAAAAACCCAAGAATATGTTCCCTTACTCTTTGGTTCTTTCGGTAAAGTCACGTAGGTGAAAAAAAATAGAAAAAACATCGAATTAACATTTTTATTCTTATTTTTTTTCACCGACATGACTTTACCGAAAGAACCAACGAGTATGGATCCTTGCAGTCACGAAAAATTGAAATCTAGGATGCTCCCTTGTTACCAGGTGTAAGGCCCCAGCTATGGGGTAGCTCTTTCTTACAAGCGCCTGCGGCCGTCGCAGATGACAGCCCATTGACGAAGTGGCTCATCCCGTGGACATTTATTTTTCCACCAAATACTCTCTGAACGTGGAGGGGGGAAAAAACCAGAGGACCCGGAGATAAATCCACACTGACCACGGTGAGATACATGTAAAACTCCAAATATACAGCAGCAGCAGGCGTCAGGGGTGGGATCGAACCCACAACCTCCTCCATACCAGGCGAGGTAGTCAACATCTCCTAGTCACCGTGATGATGATGAGAGAGAGACACGCAAACTCCAAATATACAGCAGCAGGCATCAGGGTTGGGATCTAACCCACGACCTCCTGCACACCAGGCGAGGTAGTCAACATCTCCTAGTCACCGTGATGATGATGGTGAGAGAGAGACACGCAAACTACAAATATACAGCAGCAGCAGGCATGGTAAAGGTTGGGATCGAACCCACGACCTCCTGCACACCAGGCGAGGTAGTTAACATCTCCTAGTCACCGTGATGATGATGGTGAGAGAGAGACACGCAAACTCCAAATATACAGCAGCAGGCATCAGGGTTGGGATCAAACCCATGACCTCCTGCACACCAGGCGAGGTAGTTAACATCTCCTAGTCACCGTGATGATGATGATGAGAGAGAGACACGCAAACTCCAAATATACAGCGGCAGGCATCAGGGTTGGGATCGAACCCACGACCTCCTGCACACCAGGCGAGGTAGTTAACATCTCCTAGTCACCGTGATGATGATGGTGAGAGAGACACGCAAACTCCAAATATACAGCAGCAGCAGGCATGGTAAGGGTCAGGATCGAACCCACGTAGTCCTGCACACCAGGCGAGGTAGTTAACATATCCTAGTCACCGTGATGATGATGATGAGAGACACGCAAACTCCAAATATACAGCAGCAGGCATCAGGGTTAGGATCGAACCCACGACCTCCTGTACACCAGGCGAGGTAGTCAACATCTCCTAGTCACCGTGATGATGATGATGAGATTCCTCGCCACCGCTCACCGGGAATTCCTCACCACCGCTCACCGCAGCGAGTCTCGCACAAGGAACGAGTGACGTCACTCACTCGCAGCCCCACCGCGCGCGTGACGTCATCGCGCCGGAAGATGGCTGGATGACGTCACGCTCGGGATGGAGGGGTGCGGGACGGGGGAGGTTCAGCTGGAGACGGTAATATGACGTCATCCATCGGGCTCGAAGTGCACCTGGCCTTGCACGGGCGCCGCGGTGACGTCACCGTCGCTCAGGGTACGGGTAGGAGGATCTTTGTCTTTGTAGCGGTGATGTCACTCGCATCCAGCCCCTTGGTGACGTCACCCTACACCCTGGCAGGCGCGCGCCGGTCTGACGTCGTGTCGTCAATCTCGCCACGATCGTGACGTCACGCCACTAATGGCGGGCCGCTCGGAGACGCGAGTGACGCCACCCCCCTACCCGGCACGTGACGTCGTCGGTCCTGTGCGGCGGGGGGGTGTGTCCTTAATACGATGAGGATGACGTCATTTGCTCGCGACTGCGGGTTACGTGACGTCATGTCACCAATACCCGGGGGGGGGGCTGTGGACACCGTGAATTGACGTCACGCACAGAGACAGAGAGTCGAGGCCTCCGTGTTGCGTTGTGAAGTTCAATATCGCCACTGGGAGAGAGACAAAGGCGGCCGGGCGTGGTTTTGGCTACCGACCCCCTTCATAGGTACTGCTACTCGCTACTAACAGCAGCACTTGCAACTGTAGCCTGTGTGACGCTACCTGGGGAATCTTTATATTGGTAGGAACGAAGTGGACCAGCCTACAATAGATTATACTGGTAGGAACGAAGTGGACCAGACCACCAATAGATTAATGTGTCCGTCCGTCCGACTCTCCGTCCGTCCATGTATCAACGTCGCCCCCTACTGCAAACACTTGGCATGACCCTGTCCGACAAGATGGCCGCCCGCTCCCCCTGCGAATTAAACAAGATGGCCGTCGCTTCCGGCGCATCACGGCAAAACTTTAAACTTCGCTTCAAAATTACTTTACTGAAACGCAGCACGTTTTCTTTAACACAGAGACAAGAAACATTTATTAACACAGAGACGAGATACATTTAATCGCCTTATTTGTGCACGAAAAGCACGGCGCGAGGCCTAGTGCGGCAGGCTTCACGAGGCCTAGTGCGGCAGGCTTATTAACACAGAGATGAAACGCAGCACGTTTATTTAAAAAAAAATTACTTTACTGAAACGCAGCACGTTTTATTAACACAGAGACAAGAAACATTTATTAACACAGAGACGAGATACATTTAATCGCCTTATTTGTGCACGAAAAGCACGGCGCGAGGCCTAGTGCGGCAGGCTTCGCGAGGCCTAGTGCGGCAGGCTTCGCGAGGCCTAGTGCAGAAGGTGGTGGTGGGGGGTGGTGGGGTGGTGGTGGTGGGGTTGGGTGGTGGTGGGGGGTGGTGAGGGCTGGTGGGAGGGGTGGTGTTGAGGCTGGTGTTGGGGGGTCTTTAAATCTCACAGCGTTTCTTGTCAAAACAAACACTTTTAATTAACGTTACACTAGAATACAGTAATTTTTTCTTTAACTCCTCTATACCCGGTCGATATCCCTGTACCGATACCGTCCGTGTAGCAACACCAAAAGGCGCACAACTCAAAGACAATGCACCATCAGAATATGAGAGCTCAGGGCAAGCATCTACACTATGGAAACCTCATTTGCCAGTAATTTTGGTGCATTGTCTTTGAGTTGTGCGCCTTTTGGCGTCATCTGGTCCAACCCATGTGAGACTAGGCTCTAAGGAAAGCTGTCTTCGGGTGTGGACCAATCAACTTCAAGGACAGTGCACTTCATCAGAGTTATGTTCTTTTGTTTGTATTATGACTGCTGGTATTGCGGTCTATGCAAACATGACTCCTTGTAAAAAGGTGTCAGTTTTGTTGCCAGATAGAAGGGTAAAAAACCAATTATCATATTTTTACTGGCAAATGAGGTTTCCATAGTGTAGATGCTTGCCCCGAGCTCTCATACTCTGATGGTGCATTGTCTTTGAGTTGTGCGCCTTTTGGCGTCATCTGGTCCAACCCATGTGAGACTAGGCTCTAAGGAAAGCTGTCTTCGGGTGTGGACCAATCAACTTCAAGGACAGTGCACTTCATCAGAGTTATGTTCTTTTGTTTGTATTATGACTGCTGGTATTGCGGTCTATGCAAACATGACTCCTTGTAAAAAGGTGTCAGTTTTGTTGCCAGATAGAAGGGTAAAAAACCAATTATCATATTTTGACTGGCAAATGAGGTTTCCAAAGTGTAACATTCCCTTATAATTCCCTCAGATAGCTTTTAATTAAAACATTTAACTTAATGAGGCTTTCCTGGCTAAACAAGTGTAACATTCCCTTATAATTCCCTGAGATAGCTTTTAATTAAAACTTGTAAATTAAAATTTAACTCACAGCGGCCTAAAGCCTACAGCTAGGCCTAAAGCCTCGAACAACGCCTCAAATTCTCCCTTCGTATCGTTCCTCCGCGTGTGTGCAAGGGAGTTAATGTTTAACAATGTTACATTCCCTGATGCTTTTAAATAGAAACATTTACATTTAAAGCTTGTACATAAATAATTAAAACATTTAAATTAACAATTAACTCACGGCAGCCTAAAGCCTACAGCTAGGCCTAAAGCCTAGAACTAGGCCTCAAACTCTCCCTTCGTATCGTTCCCCCGCGTGTGTGAAAGGGAGATAATGTTTCACAATGTTACATTCCCTGATGTTTTTAATAGAAACATTTAAATTTAAAGCTTTTACATTAAAAACAACTCCCTACCCCCCCCCCCCCCCTCGTCGGCGGCTCTCCAGCCTAGAGCCAGGCCTGGGAATCTCTCCCCTGCTCGGGGTGTATTGGGCGGGGCTACAGCGGCAGGGGGCGGGGCTGGGCGGGGCAACGGCGGCAGGGGGCATGGGCATGAGGTGGAGGGCGGGACTACGCGGGGTTGGGGCGGGGTTACGGCGGTAAGGGGTGGGGCAACGAGCTGGGGGTGGGGACACCGAGATGGGGCCACGGGTGAACGGGGCGGGGTTACGCGGGTGGAGGGCGGGGCCACGGGGCATCCACTTATTGGCGGCCATTTTTTGCCATTTCATTTCATTATAGCCATTCAATTTTTCGTTCCTACCAGCCCACCTCGCAGGGTCCTGTTACTGATGACATATTCGATCAGAAAAATGTAAAAAAGATTTTAAATATTATTTTTGAAATGTTATGTTTCAGCTTGTGTCTAATTGTCCACGGTAAACTGACGTTGCCTGTTAAATCACCACGGCCCCTTACGTTACGGCAAACTTCGGGGCCACTTCATGGAGTCGTGGAGTTCTTTCATTATGAGTACGGTACATTTCATTAAAGCGTGTTTTTAAAAAAGTTTTTTTAAATATCACTTATTTTTTTCTTTCGGTGCCTGGACAGCAAAAACCTTCCCCCACCCCCCACCACCGCTAAAGCCGCACACAGAGAGCCCGCCCAGAGCCCCGCCCAGCTGCGCTCCACCTCTGTAGCTCGCGGGATTCCTGCTGCACGGCATAGCCACGTCACTGCTCGCTGTGACGTTGCTGCTGCTGCTGCCGCCATGGAAGACGAGTCTCCGTCGCCATCTTGTTTCTGTCTCTATCTTGTCTCCGTCGTCTTTATCTCGCCCTTTGTTCTCATCTCCGTCTTCTTCTCCGCCATTATCTTCGTCTTGTCTCCGTCTCGATATCCATCTTGTCTCGTCTGTCTTGTGTAGTGTAGTGCCTCAATAGAGCTCAATGTGTAGTGTATAGTGTAGTGAATAGTAGTGTATAGTGTAGTGTAGTGCCTCAATAGAGCTCAATGTGTTCGCTTACCGACCATTCCCCTGTTGACGACGGGCTGTTGTAGGTACAGTAAATATTCATTAATGCATTAACCACGTTTCTTTTAACGTTATGTGTTCATACTATTGGTAGTATGAGAATAGGTTTTCCCCTTTTTTTGGCAACAAAACAGCTGTGTTAAGATGTTAAAACGCCAAACTGAAACCTTTTACAAGGCATCATGTCTGATACTGGTGTAGTGACATAAGGGAGGGGCTGCTGGGGGCTCTGGGACCCAGGGAGGGCCAGGCGCTTAAGCCTCTTGGCGCCAGGCGTGGGTTCCCAGGCGGGTCAGACACTTAAGCCTCTTGGCGTCAGGCGTTGGGTTCCCAGGCGCTTAATCCCCTTGGCGCCGCCAAAAGGGGAGGCTGTGTGTGCTCTGTGGGATATCTGGGGGCGCACACGGCCCCACCCCTCGTTGGGGACTGGGCATAAAAGGGGAGCTCCCTGGACGATCAGGGCCAGTCGTAGCTCAAGACCCAAGACCCAAGACCAGCCATCGGAGGACCCTGGGACGCTGTGAGAGCCAGTGGTGGGACTCTGGAACTCCCGACTCTACGACCTTGTGAGGGCGAGTTCCAGAGCGTAGCCAGAGTAGAGTATCTAGGCTGTGTACCTAGGCTGTGAACCTAGGCTGTAACAGAGTATCAGGACTGTTGGAGAGTTGGAGAGTTGGAGAGTTGGAGTGTTGGGGAGTTGGAGTGTTGGAGTGTTGGACTGTTGGAGTGCTGTTGAATCGTAATAAAGAAGTTACCTCTACAAGTGTCTCCGGAACCCGTTACACTGGCAAAGGAGGTCCCCATGATTTTGGTAGTATCTTTACGTATTAATATCCACCATTCAAATATTGCATAAGTACGTTTTTTGGGGTGAAAAAGGGTTAACTTTAGGTGCATTTCCTATAGTTGCTTAACGGCCAAATCACGTAACAGTCTTAACAAATATTTACTGTACCTACAACAAAAATCTTACCTTGTGCTGAGAGATTTCTCCTGTATTGGTCCAATTTTGTTTCAGAAATGCATTCAATTTTTTGTAACTTACATTTCGTTGAAATGAAGTTGTTAAGTAAACTACCCCCTGTGATTAAAACTAAAACTATACCCTAAAATCAAAACGGGGCCACCCCTCTTAAAAACACCCTCCCCCCCTCGCCGATATCTTAGTTTAAAAAAAAAGACAGACAAATGTTCCGGTAATAAGAATTATTTTAGTATATGTGGTGTTTAGAGATCGAGAGGTCAAGAGAGAGAAAATTGAATGCGTTTTTGTCACCAGGGGTGGCTGGGCAGTTCCATGTGGAAATGTTTGCATCGGCCGCGGAGGCCAAATTCTTTTTAAATAAACTGCCGCGCTACACATCGCACCTCCAATTAGCACGGTTGGCTACGTATGGTGCGAAAGAAGTTGAACATACGATAAAAATACAAAGATCCCCCGTATAGCCCGTAACAGACTGTTTGGACAAGTGCCATTAGCCAGCACCTATGAAGGCCAGCAACCACGCCCGGCCGCCTTTGTCTGCCCAGCGACAATGATTACACATCGCACCAGGTACTCATTTCATGCCGTGTCGACCTAGGGGAGGCTCAGATAATCGTCCCCGGTGTTGGCCGTGAGCGGGAATCGAACTCGGGTCGCCGGGTTTTTAGCGCAGCGTAGTGCTAACCGCTGCACCACCGCTCCCCATACACACACGGACACGCACACTCACATTCCTGGTGCTTCTGCACAGATCGAAATGGGTCTGTCCTCTGCTCCACGTGATCCACCCTCCACCCTCTTGTCTCGACCCCATTCTTTAGCGATACTTCCACGCCAACGGCGGTCCATGGCTGTCCGGCGTCTTCCTCCCATCTCCACGTCGTTCGCATCGACCTCGACATCGCTTCTCAAACGAGGGCCTCATCCTTCCAGTTCCCGTTTCGCGACCGACAAGGAGACCGAGCGATCTTGAGCTCCGAGTTCTAACTAGACCCCTTCCCCTCAGCCGAGTCTCAACTGGGGATTTCCTCCGGTTCCTGCTTCACACTCAACAGGGAGACGGAGGAGTCCTGAGCTCCGCGTTCCAACTTTACCCGCTGCTCCGTCTCGCTCCCTTGGCAATCCTCGGGCTCCCGCTTCACGATCGGCAGGGAGGGGAGGCGGCACGGAACAACCTCGCCAGCGGGCTCCACCTTCACCCCCGGCCACGCCTCGAAGCCTCCGACGTCCCCTTCCCGTTCCTCCTTCACTTTCGCCGAGGACACGTCTCCGCCTCCGCCTTCGCTCTCCGCCTTCATTACCCGCGGGCGCGTCCCGACAAAGCCGGCGGGCTTTTCCCGGCGTTCTTCTTCCAACGCGGCGGGCGCGGGAGGAGGAGGGCTCGCCGCCGCCTCTCCGGGGAAAGTCGCGCGCTCACCCCCAGAGTCAGGTGGTTCCGGTAGGGCGGCCGTCGCGACCTTGCGCGCGATGCACTCGCGACGCTTCCGCCTCGTCACGCACCCTCCGTCCGCCGCGTCCGCGCTTCCGGCGCCGGGGGAGCCGCCCGACGGCGTCAACGCCTCGGCGCCCTCGCCGCAGGCGCTCTCTCCCGTGTGGACCCTCTTGTGGACGACGAGCGTGTGGGAGCGAGCGAACGTCTTCGCGCACACCGTGCACCTGAACGGCCTCTCTCCTGTGTGGATCCTGCTGTGCGTGGAGAGGGTCCCCGCATACGCGAACGCCTTCGCGCACACCGTGCACCTGTAGGGTCTCTTGCCCATGTGGGTCCTCCTGTGCACGCTCAGGGCCCCCGAGTAGGCGAATGCCTTTCCGCATGTGGCGCACACGTAGGGCTTCTCGCCCGTGTGGATCCTGTTGTGGATGATGAGCGTCCCCGAGTGCGCAAACCGTTTTCCGCATGTGGCGCACCCGTAGGGCTTCTCGCCCGTGTGGATCCTGTTGTGGATGACGAGCGTCCCCGAGAGAGCGAACCGTTTTCCGCACGTGGCACACCCATAGGGCTTCTCGCCCGTGTGGATCCTCTGGTGGTTGCAGAGCTGCACCTCGCGCATGAACTCCATCCCGCAGACGGTGCAGTGGTAGGGCTTGCCGCCGGCGTGCGTCTTTTGGTGCTCGTGAAGATCCTCCGAGTGGTTGAACGCCAGTTCGCAATCGGTGCACTTGTAGGGCTTCTCCTCGGCGTGCGCCGCTTGGTGCTCGCGGAAGACCTTGACGTCGATGAACACCTTGCTGCACTTGGCGCACTTGTGAGACTCGCGCGCGTCGTGCGTCGCCTGGTGGCCGATGAATACATTCAGCGTGTCCGTGTTGAACGGGCAGTGGGGGCACTGGAAGAGCGTGGGCTCCGTCCACCCCCTGTGCCGCTTCATGTGGTCCTCCAGGGCGGGCAGGCTGACCACGAGCCACTTGCAGATCGGGCAGAAGATCTTCATCTCTCCGTCCGTCCGTTCCGCGTCGGCACTGGGGCACGCAGAGAGGCAGGCGGAAATTCCTTCCTTTTACATGTTTGACACAACGGGTAGGGTTACGTTTGGCAATGCCAAGGCCTCGTGGTGAATGGGGGACTAGGACAACAGGCGGCCATGGTCACACTCGCCGAAGCCTAAGTAACGTTGTGCCATTCATACTCTTTGCTTCTTTCGGTAGAGTCAGGGAGGTAGAAAAAATAATGGATCACGACGTTTCGATCGCAACACAAGCAAAAAAACTGCTGAAGCAGTTTTTTTTTTAAGCCAAACTAAACGATGTTCCCTTACTTCTAGATTTGAAGCCTTCGTGACTGCAAGGATTCATATTCTTGGGTTCTTTCGGTAAAGCCACGTAGGTGAAAAAAAATAGAAAAAAAAATCGAATTTAAATTTTATTCTTATTTTTTTTCACCGACGTGACTTTACCGAAAGAACCAACGAGTATGGATCCTTGCAGTCACGAAAACTTCAAATCTAGGATACTCCCTTGTTACCAGGTGCAAGGCCCCAGCTATGGGGTAGCTCTTTCTCACAAGCGCCTGAGGCCGTCGCAGATGACAGCTCATTGACGAAGTGGCTCATCCCGTGGACATTTATTTTTCCGCCAAATACTCTCTGAACGTGGAGGGGGGAAAAAAACCAGAGGACCCAGAGATAAATCCACGCTGACCACGGTGAGATACATGTAAAACTCCAAATATACAGCAGCAGCAGGCGTCAGGGGTGGGATCAAACCCACAACCTCCTCCATACCAGGCGAGGTAGTCAACATCTCCTAGTCACCGTGATGATGATGATGATGAGAGAAAGACACGCAAACTCCAAATCTACAGCAGCAGGCATGGTGCATGGTAAGGGTCGGCATATGACCCACGACCTCCTGTATACCAGGCGAGGTAGTTAACACCTCCTAGCCACTGTGATGATGATGTGAGAGAGAGACGCAGACTCCAAATATACAGCAGCAGGCGTCAGGGTCAGGATCAAATCCACGACCTCCTGTACACCAGGCGAGGTAGTCAACATCTCCTAGCCACCGTGATGATGATGATGAGAGAGAGACACGCAAACTCCAAATATACAGCAGCAGGCATCAGGGTTGGGATCGAACCCACGACCTCCTGCACACCAGGCGAGGTAGTTAACATCTCCTAGTCACCGTGATGATGATGATGATGAGATTCCTCGCCACCGCTCACCGGGAATTCCTCACCACCGCTCACCGCAGCGAGTCTCGCACAAGGAACGAGTGACGTCACTCACTCGCAGCCCCACCGCCCGCGTGACGTCATCGCGCCGGAAGATGGCTGGATGACGTCACGCTCGGGATGGAGGGGTGTGGGACGGGGGAGGTTCAGCTGGAGACGGTAATATGACGTCATCCATCGGGCTCGAAGTGCACCTGGCCTGGCACGGGCGCCGCGGTGACGTCACCGTCGCTCAGGGTACGGGTAGGAGGATCTTTGTCTTTGTAGCGGTGACGTCACTTGCATCCAGCCCTTTGGTGACGTCACCCTACACCCCCCCCCACCTTGGCAGGCGCGCGCCGGTTTGACGTCGTGTCGTTAATCTCGCCGCGAGCTTGACGTCACGCCACTATTGGCGGGCCGCTGGGAGACGCGAGTGACGCCACCCCCCTACCCGGCACGTGACGTCGTCGGTCCTGTGCGGCGGGGAGGTGTGTCCTTAATACGATGAGGATGACGTCATTTGCTCGCGACTGCGGGTTACGTGACGTCATGTCACCAATGCCCGGGGGGTGGCTGTGGACACCGTGAATTGACGTCACGCACAGAGACAGAGAGTCGAGGCCTCCGTGTTGCGTTGTGAAGTTCAATATCGCCACTGGGAGAGAGACAAAGGCGGCCGGGCGTGGTTTTGGCTACCGACCCCCTTCATAGGTACTGCTACTCGCTACTAACAGCAGCACTTGCAACTGTAGCCTGTGTGACGCTACCTGGGGAATCTTTATATTGGTAGGAACGAAGTGGACCAGCCTACAATAGATTATACTGGTAGGAACGAAGTGGACCAGACCACCAATAGATTAATGTGTCCGTCCGTCCGACTGTCCGTCCGTCCGTGTATCAACGTCGCCCCCTACTGCAAACACTTGGCATGACCCTGTCCGACAAGATGGCCGCCCGCTCCCCCTGCGAATTAAACAAGATGGCCGTCGCTTCCGGCGCATCACGGCAAAACTTTAAACTTCGCTTCAAAATTACTTTACTGAAACGCAGCACGTTTTTTTAACACAGAGACAAGAAACATTAACACAGAGACGAGATACATTTAATCGCCTTATTTGTGCACGAAAAGCACGGCGCGAGGCCTAGTGCGGCAGGCTTCGCGAGGCCTAGTGCGGCAGGCTTCGCGAGGCCTAGTGCAGAAGGTGGTGGTGGGGGGTGGTGGGGTGGTGGTGGTGAGGTTGGGTGGTGGTGGGGGGTGGTGAGGGCTGGTGGGAGGGGTGGTGTTGAGGGTGGTGTTGGGGGGTCTTTAAATCTCACAGCGTTTCTTGTCAAAACAAACACTTTTAATTAACGTTACACTAGAATACAGTAATTTTTTTCTTTAACTCCTCTATACCCGGTCGATATCCCTGTACCAGTACTAAGTATTATTCCTACCAGCCCATCCCGCAGGGTCCTGTTATCGTCCGTCCGTTTTTCCGTCCGTCCGTCCGTGTAGCAACGCCAAAAGGCGCACAACTCAAAGACAATGCACCATCAGAGTATGAGAGCTCGGGGCAAGCATCTACACTATGGAAACCTCATTTGCCAGTAATTTTGGTGCATTGTCTTTGAGTTGTGCGCCTTTTGGCGTCATCTGGTCCAACCCATGTGAGACTAGGCTCTAAGGAAAGCTGTCTTTTGGTGTGGACCAATCAACTTCAAGGACAGTGCACTTCATCAGAGTTATGTTCTTTTGTTTGTATTATGACTGCTGGTATTGCGGTCTATGCAAACATGACTCCTTGTAAAAAGGTGTCAGTTTTGTTGCCAGATAGAAGGGTAAAAAACCAATTATCATATTTTTACTGGCAAATGAGGTTTCCAAAGTGTAACATTCCCTTATAATTCCCTCAGATAGATTTTAATTAAAACATTTAAATTAATGAGGCTTTCCTGGCTAAACAAGTGTAACATTCCCTTATAATTCCCTGAGATAGCTTTTAATTAAAACTTGTAAATTAAAATTTAACTCACAGCGGCCTAAAGCCGACAGCTCGGCCTAAAGCCTCGAACAACGCCTCAAACTCTCCCTTCGTATCGTTCCTCCGCGTGTGTGCAAGGGTGTTAATGTTTAACAATGTTACATTCCCTGATGCTTTTAAATAGAAACATTTAAATTTAAAGTTTTACATAAATAATGAAAACAGTTAAATTAAAAATTAACTCACGGCGGCCTAAAGCCTGCAGCTAGGCCTAAAGCCTAGACCTAGGCCTCAAACTCTCCCTTCGTATCGTACCCCCGCGTGTGTGAAAGGGAGTTAATGTTTAACAATGTTACATTCCCTGATGTTTTTAAATAGAAACATTTACATTTAAAGCTTGTACATAAATAATTAAAACATTTAAATTAACAATTAACTCACGGCGGCCTAAAGCCTACAGCTAGGCCTAAAGCCTAGAACTAGGCCTCAAACTCTCCCTTCGTATAGTTCCCCCGCATGTGTGAAAGGGAGTTAATGTTTAACAATGTTACATTCCCTGATGTTTTTTTAATAGAAACATTTAAATTTAAAGCTTTTACATTAAAAACAACTCCCCCCCCCCCCCCCCCCCCCTCGTCGGCGGCTCTCCAGCCGAGAGCCAGGCCTGGGAATCTCTCCCCCGCTAGGGGTGTATTTGGCGGGGCTACAGCAGCAGGGGGCGGGGCTGGGCGGGGCAACGGTGGCAGGGGGCGTGGGCACGAAGTGGAGGGCGGGGCTACGCGGGGTTGGGGCGGGGTTAAGGCGGTAAGGGGTGGGGCAACGAGCTGGGGGCGGGGACATGGAGATGGGGCGGGGCCACGGGTGGCCGGGGCGGGGTTACGCGGGTGGAGGGCGGGGCCACGGGGCATCCACTTATTGGCGGCCATTTTTTGACATTTCATTTTATTATAGCCATTCAATTGTTCGTTCCTACCAGCCCACCCCGCAGGGTCCTGTTACTGATGACATATTCGATCAGAAAAATGTAAAAAAGATTTTTAAATATTATTTTTGAAATGTTATTTTTCAGCTTGGCTCTAATTGTCCACGGTAAACTGACGTTGCCTGTTAAATCACCACGGTCCCTTACGTTACAGCAAACTTCGGGGCCACTTCATGGAGTCGTGGAGTTCTTTCATTACGAGTACGGTACATTTCATTAAAGCGTGTTTTTAAAAAAGTTTTTTTAAATATCACTTATTTTTTTCTTTCGGTGCCTGGACAGCAAAAACCTTCCCCCACCCCCCACCGCTAAAGCCGCACACAGAGAGCCCGCCCAGAGCCCCGCCCAGTTGCGCTCCACCTCTGTAGCTCGCGGGATTCCTGCTGCACGGCATAGCCACGTCACTGCTCACTGTGACGTTGCTGCTGCTGCCGCCATGGAAGACTAGTCTCCGTCGCCATCTTGTTTCTGTCTCTATCTTGTCTCCGTCGTCTTTATCTCACCTTTGTCTCATCTCCGTCTTCTTCTCCGCCATTATCTTCGTCTTGTCTCCGTCTCGATATCCATCTTGTCTCGTCTGTGTTGTGTAGTGTAGTGCCTCAATAGAGCTCAATGTGTAGTGTATAGTGTAGTGTATAGTAGTGTATAGTGTAGTGTAGTGCCTCAATAGAGCTCAATGTGTTCGCTTACCGACCATTCCCCTGTTGACGACGGGCTGTTGTAGGTACAGTAAATATTCATTAATGCATTAACCACGTTTCTTTTAACGTTATGTGTTCATACTATTGGTAGTATGAGAATAGGTTTTCCCCTTTTTTCTGGCAACAAAACAGCTGTGTTAAGATGTTAAAATGCCAAACTGAAACCTTTTACAAGGCATCATGTCTGCATTAACCACAATACTTGTGGTCAGTATGCAAAGATAGACAAAAACTGATGCCAGATTTGGGATCAGCACCCCAAAATTACCTTAAATCCGTTGGAATTCCTTATGCCAGAAAAAGTGTGTTGACCAGTGTTATCAAAGTACGGTTTTTGTTTGCATTCTGACCACAAGTATTGTGGTCAATGCAGACATGATTTTTTGTAGGTTTCATTTCGGTGTTTTAACATCTTAACACAGCTGTTTTGTTGCCAGAAAAAGGGGAAAACCTACTCTCATATTTTGATACTGGTGTAGTGACATAAGAAGGGAGGGGCTGCTGGGGGCTCTGGGATCCAGGGAGGGCCAGGCGCTTAAGCCTCTTGGCGCCAGGCGTGGGTTCCCAGGCGGGTCAGACACTTACGCCTCTTGGCGTCAGGCGTTGGGTTCCCAGGCGCTTAATCCCCTTGGCGCCGCCAAAGGGGGGGGCTGTGTGTGCTCTGTGGGACATCTGGGGGCGCACAAGGCCCCACCCCTCGTTGGGGAGTGGGCATAAAAGGGGAGCTCCCTGGACGATCAGGGCCAGTCGTAGCTCAAGACCCAAGACCCAAGACCAGCCATCGGAGGACCCTGGGACGCTGTGAGAGCCAGTGGTGGGACTCTGGAACTCCCGACTCTACGACCTTGTGAGGGCGAGTTCCAGAGCGTAGCCAGAGTAGAGTATCTAGGCTGTGTACCTAGGCTGTGAACCTAGGCTGTAACAGAGTATCAGGACTGTTGGAGAGTTGGAGAGTTGGAGTGTTGGAGTGTTGGACTGTTGGAGTGCTGTTGAATCGTAATAAAGAAGTTACCTCTACAAGTGTCTCCGGAACCCGTTACACTGGCAAAGGAGGTCCCATGATTTTGGTAGTATCTTTACGTATTAATATCCACCGTTCAAATATTGCATAAGTACGTTTTTTGGGGTGAAAAAGGGTTAACTTTAGGTCCTGTCGTAACGGATTAAAATTTTGACGTGCATTTCCTATAGTTGCTTAACGGCCAAATCACTTAACAGTCTTAATAAATATTTACTGTACCTACAACAAAAATCTTACCTTGTGCTCAGAGAGATTTCTCCTGTATTGGTTCAATTTTGTTTCAGAAATGCATTCAAATTTTTGTAACTTACATTTCGTTGAAATGAAGTTGTTAAGCAAACTACCCCCTGTGATTAAAACTAAAACTATACCCTAAAATCAAAACGGGGCCACCCCTCTTAAAAACACCCTCCCCCCCTCCCCGATATCTTAGTTTAAAAAAAAGACAGACAAATGTTCCGGTAATAAGAATTATTTTAGTATATGTGGTGTTTAGAGGTCGAGAGGTCAAGAGAGAGAAAATTGAATGCGTTTTTGTCACCAGGGGTGGCTGGGCAGTCCCATGTGGAAATGTTTGCATCTGCCGCGGAGGCCAAATTCTTTTTAAATAAACTGCCGCGCTACACATCGCACCTCCAATTAGCACGGTTGGCTACGTATGGTGCGAAAGAAGTTGAACATACGATAAAAATACAAAGATCCCCCGTATAGCCCGTAACAGACTGTTGGGACAAGTGCCATTAGCCAGCACCTATGAAGGCCAGCAACCACGCCTGGCCGCCTTTGTCTCCCCAGCGACAATGATTACACATCGCACCAGGTACTCATTTCATGCCGTGTCGACCTAGGGGAGGCTCAGATAATCGTCCCCAGTGTTGGCCGTGAGCGGGAATCGAACTCGGGTCGCCGGGTTCTTAGCGCAGCGTAGTGCTAACCGCTGCACCACCGCTCCCCATACACACACGGACACGCACACTCACATTCCTGGTGCTTCTGCACAGATCGAAATGGGTCTGTCCTCTGCTCCACGTGATCCACCCTCCACCCTCTTGTCTCGACCCCATTCTTTAGCGATACTTCCACGCCAACGGCGGTCCATGGCTGTCCGGCGTCTTCCTCCCATCTCCACGTCGTTCGCATCGACGTCGACATCGCTTCTCAAACGAGGGCCTCATCCTTCCAGTTCCCGTTTCGCGACCAACAGGGAGACCGAGCGATCTTGAGCTCCGAGTTCTAACTTGACCCCTTCCCCTCAGCTGAGTCTCAACTGGGGATTTCCTCCGGTTCCTGCTTCACACTCAACAGGGAGACAGAGGAGTCCTGAGCTCCGCGTTCCAACTTTACCCGCGGCTCCGTCTCGCTCCCGTGGCAATCCTCGGGCTCCCGCTTCACGATCGGCAGGGAGGGGGGGCGGCACGGAACGACCTCGCCAGCGGGCTCCACCTTCACCCCCGGCCACGCCTCGAAGCCTCCGACGTCCCCTTCCCGTTCCTCCTTCACTTTCGCCGAGGACACGTCTCCGCCTCCGCCTCCGCTATCCGCCTTCATTACCCGCGGGCGCGTCCCGACAAAGCCGGCGGGCTTTTCCCGGCGTTCTTCTTCCGACGCGGCGGGTGCAGGAGGAGGAGGGCTCGCCGCCGCCTCTCCGGGGAAAGTCGCGCGCTCACCCCCAGAGTCAGGTGGCTCCGGTAGGGCGGCCGTCGCGACCTTGCGCGCGATGCACTCGCGACGCTTCCTCCTCGTCACGCACCCTCCCTCCGCCGCGTCCGCGCTTCCCGCGCCGGGGGAGCCGCCCGACGGCGTCAACGCCTCGGCGCCCTCGCCGCAGGTGCTCTCTCCCGTGTGGACCCTCTTGTGGACGACGAGCGTGTGGGAACGAGCGAACGTCTTCGCGCACACCGTGCACCTGTACGGCCTCTCTCCTGTGTGGATCCTGCTGTGCGTGGAGAGGGTCCCCGGATATGCGAACGCCTTCGCGCACACCGTGCACCTGTAGGGTCTCTTGCCCATGTGGGTCCTCCTGTGCACGCTCAGGGCCCCCGAGTAGGCGAATGCCTTTCCGCATGTGGCGCACACGTAGGGCTTCTCGCCCGTGTGGATCCTGTTGTGGATGACGAGCGTCCCCGAGTGCGCAAACCGTTGTCCGCATGTAGCGCACCCGTAGGGCTTCTCGCCCGTGTGGATCCTGTTGTGGATGACGAGCGTCCCCGAGAGAGCGAACCGTTTTCCGCACGTGGCACACCCATAGGGCTTCTCGCCCGTGTGGATCCTCTGGTGGTTGCAGAGCTGCACCTCGCGCATGAACTCCATCCCGCAGACGGTGCAGTGGTAGGGCTTGCCGCCGGCGTGCGTCTTTTGGTGCTCGTGAAGATCCTCCGAGTGGTTGAACGCCAGTTCGCAATCGGTGCACTTGTAGGGCTTCTCCTCGGCGTGCGCCGCTTGGTGCTCGCGGAAGACCTTGACGTCGATGAACACCTTTCCGCACTTGGCGCACTTGTGAGACTCGCGCGCGTCGTGCGTCGCCTGGTGGCCGATGAAGACATTCAGCGTGTCCGTGTTGAACGGGCAGTGGGGGCACTGGAAGAGCGTGGGCTCCGTCCACCCCCTGTGCCGCTTCATGTGGTCCTCCAGGGCGGGCAGGCTGACCACGAGCCACTTGCAGATCGGGCAGAAGATCTTCATCTCTCCGTCCGTCCGTTCCGCGTCGGCACTGGGGCACGCAGAGAGGCAGGCGGAAATTCCTTCCTTTTACATGTTTGACACAACGGGTAGGGTTACGTTTGGCAATGCCAAGGCCTCGTGGTGAATGGGGGACTAGGACAACAGGCGGCCATGGTCACACTGGCCGAAGCCTAAGTAACGTTGTGCCATTCATACTCTTTGCTTCTTTCGGTAGAGTCAGGGAGGTAGAAAAAATAATGGATCACGACGTTTCGATCGCAACACAAGCAAAAAAACTGCTGAAGCAGTTTTTTTTAAGCCAAACTAAACGATGTTCCCTTACTTCTAGATTTGAAGCCTTCGTGACTGCAAGGATTCATATTCTTGGGTTCTTTCGGTAAAGCCACGTAGGTGAAAAAAAATAGAAAAAAAAATCGAATTTAAATTTTATTCTTATTTTTTTTCACCGACGTGACTTTACCGAAAGAACCAACGAGTATGGATCCTTGCAGTCACGAAAACTTCAAATCTAGGATGCTCCCTTGTTACCAGGTGCAAGACCCCAGCTATGGGGTAGCTCTTTCTCATAAGCGCCTGCGGCCGTCGCAGATGACAGCTCATTGACGAAGTGGCTCATCCCGTGGACATTTATTTTTCCGCCAAATACTCTCTGAACGTGGAAGGGGGAAAAAAACCAGAGGACCCAGAGATAAATCCACGCTGACCACGGTGAGATACATGTAAAACTCCAAATATACAGCAGCAGCAGGCGTCAGGGGTGGGATCAAACCCACAACCTCCTCCATACCAGGCGAGGTAGTCAACATCTCCTAGTCACCGTGATGATGAGAGAAAGACACGCAAACTCCAAATCTACAGCAGCAGGCATGGTGCATGGTAAGGGTCGGCATATGACCCACGACCTCCTGTATACCAGGCGAGGTAGTTAACACCTCCTAGCCACTGTGATGATGATGTGAGAGAGAGACGCAGACTCCAAATATACAGCAGCAGCAGGCGTCAGGGTCAGGATCAAATCCACGACCTCCTGTACACCAGGCGAGGTAGTCAACATCTCCTAGCCACCGTGATGATGATGATGAGAGAGAGACACGCAAACTCCAAATATACAGCAGCAGGCATCAGGGTTGGGATCGAACCCACGACCTCCTGCATACCAGGCGAGGTAGTCAACATATCCTAATCACCGTTATGATGATGATGAGACACGCAAACTCCAAATATACAGCAGCAGCAGCAGGCATGGTAAGGGTCAGGATCGAACCCACAACCTCCTGCACACCAGGCGAGGTAGTCAACATCTCCTAGCCACCGTGATGATGATGAGAGAGACACGCAAACTCCAAATATACAGCAGCAGGCATCAGGGTTGGGATCGAACCCACGACCTCCTGCACACCAGGCGAGGTAGTCAACATCTCCTAGTCACCGTGATGATGATGATGAGATTCCTCGCCACCGCTCATCGGGAATTCTTCACCACCGCTCACCGCAGCGAGTCTCGCATAAGGAACGGGTGACGTCACTCATTCGCAGCCCCACCGCGCGCGTGACGTCATCGCGCTGGAAGATGGCTGGATGACGTCACGCTCGGGATGAATGGGGGCGGGCGGAGGTTTCAGCTGGAGACGGTAATATGACGTCATCTATCGGGCTCGAAGTGCACCTGGCCTGGCACGGGCGCCGCGGTGACGTCACCGTCGCTCAGGGTACGGGTAGGGGGATCTTTGTCTTTGTAGCTGTGACGTCACTCGCATCCAGCCCCTTGGTGACGTCACCCTACACCCCCCCCCCACCCTGGCAGGCGCGCGCCGGTCTGACGTCGTGTCGTCAATCTCGCCGCGAGCGTGACGTCACGCCACTATTGGCGGGCCGCTTGGAGACGCGAGTGACGCCACCCCCCCTACCGGGCACGTGACGTCGTCGCTCCTGTGCGGCGGGGGGGTGTGTCCTTAATACGATGGGGATGACGTCATTTGCTCGCGACTGCGGGTTACGTGACGTCATGTCACCAATGCCCGGGGGGGGGGGCTGTGGACACCGTGAATTGACGTCACACACAGAGACAGAGAGTCGAGGCCTCCGTGTAGCGTTGTGAAGTTCAATATCGCCACTGGGGGAGAGACAAAGGCGGCCGGGCGTGGTGTTGGATACCGACCCCCTTCATAGGTACTGCTACTCGCTACTAACAGCAGCACTTGCAACTGTAGCCTGTGTGAGGCTACCTGGGGCATCTTTATATTGGTAAGAACAAAGTGGACCAGCCGACAATCTATATATATAAAATCGCAAATCTGTCTGTCTGTCTGTGTGTCTGTGTGTGTGTCTGTTTGTCTGTGTGTCGCCGGACCATACGCAGTTTCATTGGACGAAATGTGAGGGATTTGCGAGACACGATTGGTCCGGCGGTTGCCCCTGGCAACGGGTAGCGATGCATTCGCTGCGGGGTGGACGCCATTTTTAATTCCCGTTAAAAATATGCGCACGCATTAACACGCGACTCTGACGTAAATTCATCAAAGTTTCACATCCTCTTCACTCCCCCCCCACCACAATGTGTGCAATTACTATTATAGGGTCGGAAGATTATAAAATAGCGATTAGACAGTATTATTGTAGCGCGGGGGGGGGGGGGGGAAACGGCACCCGTACCCAGCCTCAGCCGGGTGGGCAATTTAGGCGAGGCCGGAAGCTCTGCACGGTACTAGGCCTCGACACCCACCACGCGACTCTGAGGTAAATTCATCAAAGTTTCACGTCCTCTTCACTCCCCCGCCACCCCAATGTGTGCAATTACTATTATAGGGTCGGTAGATAATAAAATTATAGCGATTAGACAGTATTATTGTAGCGCGGGGGGGGGGGGTAACGGCCCCGGTACCCAGCCTCAGCCGGGTGGGCAATCTAGGCGAGGCCGGAGGCTCTGCACGGGACTACGCCTCGACACCCCACCACACTATAGGCCGTACATATTACTGCACAGCGGCCGAGGAGATCGTGGCTGGGGGGGGGCAGGGGTAGCAGCCCATCTGTGTATATATGTAAGGTTATTAAGAAATATATTTTTCACCCGGGCAACGCCGGGTACTTCTGCTAGTCTATATATATAAAATCGCAAATCTGTCTGTCTGTCTGTGTGTCGCCGGACCATACGCAGTTTCATTGGACGAAATGTGAGGGATTTGCAAGACACGATTGGTCCGTTTGGTTTTCCACGGCGGTTGCCCCTGGCAACGGGTAGCGACGCATTCGCTGCGGGGTGGACGCCATTTTTAATTCCCGTAAAAAATATGCGCACGTATTAACACGCAACTCTGAGGTAAATTCATCAAAGTTTCACGTCCTCTTCACTCCCCCCCCCCCCCCCACGCCAATGTGTGCAATTACTATTATAGGGTCGGTAGATAATAAAATTATAGCGATTAGACAATATTATTGTAGCGCGGGGGGGGGGGGGGGGGAACGGCACCCGTACCCAGCCTCAGCCGGGTGGGCAATTTAGGCGAGGCCGGAGGCTCTACACGGTACTAGGCCTCGACACCCCACCACACTATAGGCCGTACATATTACTGCACAGCGGCCGAGATCGTGGCTGGGGGGGCAGGGGTAGCAGCCCATCTGTGTATATATGTAAGGTTATTAAGAAATATATTTTTCACCCAGGCAACGCCGGGTACTTATGCTAGTAGATTATATCGTCCGTCCGTTTTTCCGTCCGTCTGTGTAGCAACATCGCCCCCTATTGCAAACACTTGGCATGACCCTACAAAAACCTTTAGACTCAGTGACGATTTCCTGGCTAAACAAGTGTAACATTCCCTTATAATTCCCTCAGATAGCTTTTAATTAAAACGTTTAAATTAATGAGGCTTTCCTGCCTAAACAAGTGCAACATTCCCTTATAATTCCCTGAGATAGCTTTTAATTAAAACTTGTAAGTTAAAATTTAACTCACAGCAGCCTAAAGCCTACAGCTAGGCCTAATGCCTAGAACTAGGCCTCAAACTCTCCCTTCGTATAGTTCCCCCGCGTGTGTGAAAGGGAGTTAATGTTTAGCAATGTTACATTCCCGGATGTTTTTTTAATAGAAACATTTACATTTAAAGCTTTTACATTAAAAACAACTCCCTACCCCCCCCCCCCCCCCTCGTCGGTGGCTCTCCAGCCTAGATCCAGGCCTGGGAATCTCTCCCCCGCTAGGGGTGTATTGGGCGGGGCTACAGCTGCAGGGGGCGGGGATGGGCGGGGCAACGGCGGCAGGGGGCGTGAGCACGAGTTGGAGGGTGGAGGGCGGGGCTACGCGGGGTTGGGGCGGGGTTACGGCGGTAAGGGATGGGGCAACGAGCTGGGGGCGGGGACACGGAGATGGGGCGGGGCCACGGGTGGCCAGGGCGGGGTTACGCGGGTGGAGGGCGGGGCCACGGGGCATCCACTTATTGGCGGCCATTTTTTGCCATTTCATTTTATTATAGCCATTCAATTGTTCGTTCCTACCAGCCCACCCCGCAAGGTCCTGTTACTGATGACATATTCGATCAGAAAAATGTAAAAAAGATTTTAAAATATTATTTGTGAAATTTTATGTTTCAGCTTGGCTCTAATTGTCCACGGTAAACTGACGTTGCCTGTTAAATCACCACGGCCCCTTACGTTACGGCAAACTTCGGGGCCACTTCATGGAGTCGTGGAGTTCTTTCATTACGAGTACGGTACATTTCATTAAAGCGTGTTTTTAAAAAAGTTTTTTTTAATATCACTTATTTTTTTCTTTCGGTGCCTGGACAGCAAAAACCTTCCCCCACCCCCCACCGCTAAAGCCGCACACAGAGAGCCTGCCCAGAGCCCCGCCCAGTTGCGCTCCACCTCTGTAGCTCGCGGGATTCCTGCTGCACGGCATAGCCACGTCACTACTCGCTGTGACGTTGCTGCTACTGCCGCCATGGAAGACTAGTCTCCGTCGCCATCTTGTTTCTGTCTCTATCTTGTCTCCGTCGTCTTTATCTCGCCTTTGTCTCATCTCCGTCTTCTTCTCCGCCATTATCTTCGTCTTGTCTCCGTCTCGATATCCATCTTGTCTCGTCTGTGTTGTGTAGTGTAGTGCCTCAATAGAGCTCAATGTGTAGTGTATAGTGTAGTGTCTAGTAGTGTATAGTGTAGTGTAGTGCCTCAATAGTCATAGAGCTCAATGTGTTCGCTTACCGACCATTCCCCTGTTAACGATGGGCTGTTGTAGGTACAGTAAATATTCATTAATGCATTAACCACGTTTCTTTTAACGTTATGTGTTCATACTATTGGTAGTATGAGAATAGGTTTTCCCCTTTTTTCTGGCAACAAAACAGCTGTGTTAAGATGTTAAAACGCCAAACTGAAACCTTTTACAAGGCATCATGTCTGCATTAACCACAATACTCGTGGTCAGTATGCAAAGATAGACGAAAACTGATGCCAGATTTGGAATCAGCACCCCAAAATTACCTTAAATCCGTTGGAATTCCTTATGCCAGAAAAAGTGTGTTGACCAGTGTTATCAAAGTACGGTTTTTGTTTGCATTCTGACCACAAGTATTGTGGTCAATGCAGACATGATTTTTTGTAGGTTTCAGTTTGGTGTTTTAACATCTTAACACAGCTGTTTTGTTGCCAGAAAAAGGGGAAAACCTACTCTCATATTTTGATACTGGTGTAGTGACATAAGAAGGGAGGGGCTGCTGGGGGCTCTGGGACCCAGGGAGGGCCAGGCGCTTAAGCCTCTTGGCGCCAGGCGTGGGTTCCCAGGCGGGTCAGACACTTAAGCCTCTTGGCATCAGGCGTTGGGTTCCCAGGCGCTTAATTCCCTTGGCGCCGCCAAAGGGGGGGGCTGTGTGTGCTCTGTGGGATATCTGGGGGCGCACACGGCCCCACCCCTCGTTGGGGACTGGGCATAAAAGGGGAGCTCCCTGGACGATCAGGGCCAGTCGTAGCTCAAGACCCAAGACCCAAGACCAGCCATCGGAGGACCCTGGGACGCTGTGAGAGCCAGTGGTGGGACTCTGGAACTCCCGACTCTACGACCTTGTGAGGGCGAGTTCCAGAGCGTAGCCAGAGTAGAGTATCTAGGTTGTGTACCTAGGCTGTGAACCTAGGCTGTAACAGAGTATCAGGACTGTTGGAGAGTTGGAGAGTTGGAGTGTTGGAGTGTTGGACTGTTGGAGTGCTGTTGAATCGTAATAAAGAAGTTACCTCTACAAGTGTCTCCGGAACCCGTTACACTGGCAAAGGAGGTCCCCATGATTTTGGTAGTATCTTTACGTATTAATATCCACCGTTCAAATATTGCATAAGTACGTTTTTTGGGGTGAAAAAGGGTTAACTTTAGGTCCTGTCGTAACGGATTAAGATTTTGACGTGCATTTCCTATAGTTGCTTAACGGCCAAATCACTTAACAGTCTTAATAAATATTTACTGTACCTACAACAAAAATCTTACCTTGTGCTCAGAGAGATTTCTCCTGTATTGGTCCAATTTTGTTTCAGAAATGC